GCATGTATAACCAACATCCAAAAAGTGGGTGATCAGTAGCAATAGTAAAAGCTGTACCAAAAGTGCTAGAGTTAAGTGTCTGTCTGTGCATGGTCAGAAGGACAAGTAACTCACAAGAACAGAATTACAAATCCTTAGCAGTTGAACCAATAGACACACATATTCTTACTATTTTAGGGTTATTATTAGTTTAAGCTTTGCCACAATGTTCTGTCCTTACACTGTGCAGCAATATGGCAGATAAAGAAAGTTGACATAATAAAAGTTCTGCTTCAGCTTACTTTACAGAGATACTCTGCTAATGGTTCTGTTAAAGTTACATGATGATGTTTGATAACCCAGCCTTCACTTAAATCATAACCAGTGATTTTCACAATAGCCTGTTCTGGAGGACAGTGTAAAAAAAAAAAAAAAAAAAAAAAAAAAAAAAAACAATCAGACCTTCAGTTTTTCACAGCACATGCCAGCCATGTTAAAAATATTTCTTACATCTCTGCAAGGCATGCACATTTCCCCAATGTTTTATCCCTTTAAAACACTGCACGTACATAAAAAGAACTGCCGACGTGTCAGAAATATAGTGTGAACTTACCTTCATTGACATGACAACCTTGAATGCCAAAAAGCTTTAAAGTGGCTGTGTGACGAACATGAAATATGAACAAAGCATATCCTTCTATAGCAGGGGTGCCCAACCTTTTGAAAAGCAAGGGCCCAGGGATGTTTGATTGCTATCGCCCGACGCCCAGGACATGTAGTTCCGGGCAGGTAGTTTTTCTCTTCCTTGCCCTGCTGTGGGGAAACAGCGGGTTCACCTGTCAGCCGCCACAGATTGCGTCACACAGTGCCAGCCTCTCCACGTCCCAGGCGTGAGGTTCCCCGGGCTCCACTTGCCCATCTGCAGGCTCGACTTGCTGTCGGCTAGAGAGGAGGGAGAAGAGCGGACAAGTCTGCTCCCCTCCCCTTGTGATGACCCAGAAGTGACATTACGATGTCACTTCCAGGTCCCCATTGAGAGATTATAACACAATCCCTGGGAATGAATGCAATATGGTGCAGATGTACACCACATTACATTCAGTGGAGCAGAGGAGAGACATGCAGGGTCTTTTAGACCTTGGATGTCTCAAAGAGACCCTGTCACCAAGAAGCATCTAAAAAAATTTAAAAAAAATGACAGTTATACCCAAGCACATGCCACCCACGCTCCCCCTCAAAAAAAAAAAAAAAAAAAAAAAAAAAAAAAAAAAATATTGGAGGCCTCCCATCTCCACACGCATGTACAAACGTAAAGCACATGCTGGGGGGCGCCTAAGTATGAAACAGTCGATTGCAATACACGTCACATAACCCGCGCACGCCAGAATGAGAGCAATAATTCTAGCACCAGACCTCCTCCGTAACACTAAACTGGTGACCTATAAAAGGAGCTTTAAAAGTCGACCTATAGAAAATACAGAGTGCTGAAGTTCGCCATTTCACGAGCACGTACAAATTTAAGGTTTAACAAGTTGGATATCTATTTACTCGTTGCAACCGCGTCTTATATTTTACACAAAAATAGGGCAATTTATTGATTTTTTTTGTGCCCTAAAATTAACTTACTTGTATTTCTTACAAAAATTTTGCTGTAAAATCATGTGACATAAAAAATTGGAACTACCACCATTTTATGCTCTAGGGTCTCCAATTTCAGAAAATATATCATGTTTGGGGGTTTTGTGTAATCTTCAGGCTTAAACTGATTTTTTTAAACACAAAAACGGCTCTGGCAGCGAAAGGGATAAAGTATAAGCCCTGACTACCCTTTCCTGATGAGCAGCCAATTGTTGTTCATCACACTGCAAGATCTCTCCCCTCCCTGCTAGTCCCTGGGTGCGGTGCTGGAGAAAGGCAAGAAGGGGAGGAAGAGATAAACAGCACAATGGTAAAAATATTACACATTTAAGTCGCCATAAAGCCTCTTTTGTTTTTAAAAGCCCCATACAGTCCTAAAATCACCTACGTTTTAAATACAGTTTTGGTTAAAAAAGAAAAAAAAAAAAATTATCAGGACAAGTAGATGGTCATGAGGGACAAGTAGATTGGGGCCCCGATTTAGTCCCTGGACAAGTGGTTTGAAAAAAAATTGCACACCTCTGAAGGGCTACGCAAGCGATATGGTAACTGGTCGCGGGCCAATAAGAGCAGAGCAGGCAGACACGTCCATGTCCACTCTGCATAGGCAGAACGGACACAGACACAGCCCGCTCTACTCTATGGGACCTCCAAATCACCCAGATGGAAGGGGATGGAACCCCTTGTTTTTTTTTTTTTTCCTAGCAGATTTATCTGTTTGGAGGCAGGCCAGTGTAAACAGTCACAAGTTCACCATAAAGGTGAATGGAGGGTCCGATTGGGTCCGCCTGAAAAAGGACAGGCGGACCAATCATGTAAAGGGGCCTAAGGCTGCTTTCACACATATGCACTGTGGTTTTATCCGCATCACAGGTGCAGCGCAGTGCGCTTGTGGCTTTCCTTGGGGTTAGCTACACTTTGCACCCCACTTGCAGGATTGAATATTCTATGGCACTTTTTGCATTCAGGAGTTTTGGTGCGCTTTTAGAAAGTGAAAGACTCGCAGGTAATAAGTCTGTGGCTCAGTGCAGGCAACCTGCAGGTCCACCAGGCCGCACCTGCGGATCAGTTTGAAAAGCAGCCCAGAGTAACCAGTGCAGAACTCAAACAGATATGCCTGTTGCTATGTGATTTTAATAAAAAAAAAAAAAAAGAAAAAAAAAAAAGACCTTTAAAAACCACAGTCTTCACTTTAGGAATCACCCTGTAGGTATCACCAACTGTTGCTGTCCCAGGTGGAGTGCATTTAGTATCACTGAGCCTGTGACAGGAACCAGCATCAGAGGAAGCACCAGCTATACACTCTACTGCAGCCGCATGATTCCTTTACTACTGGCTCCATGCTCAACACTGATGCTCTGGGATGCTGGGTCGGGAACCTGTGATCTACGCTTGCCAACCAGTCATCACAGTGCAGGAGGTCACGAGCCACAGAGGTCCAGCGGTTGGGCACCCCTGCTCTATAGCGTGCACTTGTGTCAATCCAGAGGATTAAGTGTCATTTCTCTCTGCTGCCTCGTTCCTCTGCTATTTTTAGGAGCCACTTTTATCAAGTTTTTCGGACACCAAGAGATAAAAAGGTGAAAGAAGAGGGAGCTACAGCACACTGCCTGTCACTGACAGTCTCAGCTCTGTTCCTGTGTGCTGTCTGTGTGAAGGGGTTGTGTCCCTTCCCTCCAGTTACCCTTCACTAAGATCAGCAGAGTGTAACCTTCAGCTCCCAACCCCCTTCTTTCTGAAGCTCAGAAAATCTGTACAAATTCTGTACAGATTTTAAATGGCTGTAGAGAGGAGAGGCTACAGATAAACCGGTACAACTTATATAGGAAGATATGATTAATCTCAAATCACCTAAAGCTAGTTATCAAACACCCTGGTGGGTATGTTACAGCGGTGACATCACACCTGCCAGAGTGTTCAATGTGGTAGTTTGACATGCGTTTTGAATGTACATCAATGGGAGTAGATGACCATTTTAATAAATTCATTCTGATTGCTACACTAGGAGCGAAGCTCCCTTCCTGTTTTATAAGCTGTCTTTTTTCCGGCTGAGCTGTGGATTGCCTGTTTAATCTGCTGGGAAAAACGACTTTTAGTGGCAGGCTGAGTGAGTGGAGATACATGTATACCCATCCTTTCATCTGAGTAGCAGGCTGTGGGGGTGGAGGCTCTGATCCATTGGTCAGGACAGCATACTGTAAATGTAGAGGCTGACTTTCATTGATTTATCCACTGAGGCGAGTGGAGGCTTGCTTTCATTCATCCATCTAACAAGTGGTGTGATCGGAGGATGGTGATCCTATCTATCCATTCATTAGTGGGATTTGTCCCCCAAAAGTGCAGTTAGACCTCTTAAGCTTTGGGGGTCTAACCTTCTGGCAAGCAGAATTTGTGTCACATGCTTGGACACATGCTGTGGTGATTTGGAAGAGGATTCTAATTTATGAATTTTGGGACACAGATTTTGTTTGGATGCACCTCTCACCGAAAAAATCTTTTTGATATAAATTTCAGTTGCACAGGACTCTTTTTGCTTCCAGTAGCGATATAATTTTTTGATTTGGACTGGTTTAGGACTTTTTAGCACACTTGTATTGATGATACTGCAACACATATATGGTTTTATATCGGTTACTTTATTTGATGTGTGGATAACAGTGAGTACAGCTGTCAACATTTGATTTAAAAATGATATATTGTAGCACTATTTAGCACAGGATTTGGATTTTCCTAGGGCTCTATTAGACCCTCAATGTCTCCACTGCCCTCAAATACAGCTAATCCAGTGCCTATGGAGCCCTGTAAAAATGATCTGGCAGCTCCAGAGCCGCCCGGATGACTAAAGTAAAACTACAGGCAAACTTTTTCTTCTAAATTTTGGATAGAGCAAGGGAGGGTTATAACCCTTCAGATTCTTTTTTTTTTTTTTGCCGTGTCCCATTGTGGAGATTTATGTTCACTTCCTGTCCAATAGCCCAACAGGAAGTGAGAGGAAATCCCTGCAATTTAAAGGATTTCCTTGGGGATCCCTATTCTCATTGGAAAATATACCCCCTTACTTTTCTGGGGACAAACCAATAGTTTGGATTTTCTTTTACATTCACTTTCAATGACAACTGCAAACAGGGCAAAGGAGGGTGAATCTCCTTATAGGGGGCACAGACTAAAATAAAAACTGACGGGTTCTAATCCCTCTCCACTCTATTCAAAACTAAAAAAAAAAAAAAAAAAAAAAACTAAAGGCCATTAGTTATACCTTAAAGCTGAAAGTTGGCTGTAAAAATCAATACCAAGCACACAGCTGCAGAACTTTTATAAATGTACCTTGGTGGACAAGGGGTTAAATATACATACTAATCTTTTTATTAGAACACTGAGCTGTATCAGTGCTGCATAAACTTATGCTGAATGTTTAACTGATGAAAAGTCCACTTTAAAATTCTACACATCTTATAGCATTTGTTTTTGGTTATAATGTATCTCACCTTAAATTCTGTGGTTGTTTCCTCTACTGGCAATACAACATGGCTCCTGTGGTCCACAGACTCCCTGCAGACCACACAAATTTCTTCTTCATCAATTTGGCAATAAAACTTTAGCGGCTCCTGGTGTTTTTTACACTGCTTTATACATTCTTCTTGCTCTTTAGTAAAAAGCAGACGGTTAGAAATTTCCACAACATTCTCCAGAGGGCGATTGGGTCTCAAAAATTTCCACTTGGATGTCTTTCGACACTGAGGGCAAGGAAAATTGGTCCGAAGTCCTCTCCATGTCTGGACAATGCAGGCTCTACAAAAGCAGTGACCACATTCTATTGAAACTGGGTCTTTGTAATGATCCAGGCATATAGCACAGGTGACTTCATCCTGCAAGTCCTTAACAGGGTTGCTATTTGCAAGAGCCATTCCTGTTGGTAAAAAAAAAAAAAAAAAAAAAACTACTATTAAATGTGTCAAGATGTATTAATGTAATTCCAGTTTACAATCACATGACTTTGAAGTCATAACTTGCTTTGCACACGTAAGGCAAAGCAGTAACAGGCTATCCTATATCTTGTACCCAGCCCAACATACTGACCTTTACTCCCTCACAGCTCCATTCAGCTTCTAGATGCAGAATACTCATTCACAAAAATCAAAAAGTGTAGTGTGAAAAAAGACAGGACATGGTCTTTGACAAGTCCTTTATTAAACGAAAAGAATGTCCCCCACAGTAGATCCAACGTCAATCACGATGCCCACCGCTGCCCTGAAAAAGAAAAAAAAAAAAAAAAAAAAAAAAAAAAAAAAAAAAAAAAAAAAAAAAAAGGGCTCTGCTGCCAACGATGGCTCCCGCCACCTGCCTGCTCTGGTGGTTTGACAGTTCTTAAATAGCTAAGGGGTGGGGCCATCTGGGGACATCACGCATATGACCCCACCCCATGTAACATCAATGTCACGTGGGGCGGGGTCATTCAGCTGAAGTCCCCTTTCTGATTTCAATAAGCCCCCTGCCCGCAAGCACCCCCTATGTTGAGGGCATGTGGCCTGGTATGGTTCAGGAGGGGGGGGGGCACTAGCTTGTCACCCCCCCTTTCCTGACCTGCTGGTCTGCATGCTCGGATAACGTTCTGGTATGAATTTTTATTTATTTTTTTTTTATTTTGGCATGGGAGTTCCCCTCAAAAGCCATATCAGACCCTAAGGGTCTGGTATTTTATTAATTATGGTGACAGTCTTTAAATGTAATTACCGCTTCTTTTTTCCTTCACTATAGCTCAGAGATTCAGCTGTCACTTTCCCCCCAGCTAAAATAAAGAAAGGTTTTCTTTCAGTTTATTTTCCCCGAGTTAAGAGAAACGTTTCCTTTTAGTTTCTTAAAAAGAAAAACAAAGTTTCTGTTAACTCCAGGGAAAGAGACAGCTAATTCTGTGAGCTATAGTGAAGAAAAAAAAAAAAAGACAGCAACTGCATTTAAAAATCGGCACCTACATACACTTTGAATTGTAAAAAAAACTTTGTAAAAAAATAAATAAAATATATATATATATTTGTAAACCGAGGCATTATTTTCATTCGTAAACCCAAAATTACGTTATCCGATGCCTTTGTAAACCAAGGTACCTCTGTACATGTTTTTGTGCAACGTTTCTATTAAAACGTCTATAGAACCCAAAACCGCTACTTTTTACGTTGAAAAAAGTCCCTGACCCTTTCCAAAAAAAAAAAATGCACCAGGTGAAAACGCGAAGATGTTCCATAGGAAATCATGTTAAATGGACAGTACTGTGTTTCCGCTAACTGCTGCAGAAAACACTGAAGAGTGAACCTAGGGTAATGACAAGTTCACTTTAAAGCTGGCTAACCACTTCAAAGCGACCCTCTTGGCTGGTCAGTCTCCCATAAAACAATGACACCCGGAGAAATACACAATTACAGATAGTAATCCATCTCCTAAACTGTAATAAATCAACGTCAGAGGGACAGTAAATGGACTCACAGCACCAGCAGCGGCCGCACGGAACGATCGCCAGGTATCAAAACAAAACTCACCCGGAAGCTAAAAGCTGCACACTGCATTTCCACCAATCAGCGTCCTGTTCACATGCAGCTGATGAGCATAACGAACCTCACCCGGAAGTTAAAAGAGCCACATACGGCCAATGGCGATGCCCCTTCCTAAATCTCATGTTTAACCGTTTATTTGCCTACATTTTCTGATTTTTCACACACCCCAATGTGTCACATATTGTGATAAACCGAGAAATACAAAAACAAAGTATGACTAAAAGCAAAACTTTTTTTTTGTTTTAGCATGTGGAGAGGAGTTCAAACCCCTGTCAGTTTTGTATTGCTATTTGTGCCAGCGTTAGTCAGATTGACCCTCTCTTTGTCATGTTTACATTATCAAAAATGAAAGTGTAAAAATCCTACATTTTGGGTAGACTCCAGAACAGGAGTGGAGGGGGACTCTCCCAACGAGGACACTAGTTCTGGTGCACCTGATAACACTAGGGTTGCCACCTCATCCCTTTAATGACACAGGTTCAGTGGCTGGTTAAGGTGGAAATGAAACTCACTTTGTGCCTTATCTGCATTAACCCCTTTAAGAAGTTGCTGATCGGCCCTTTGCTGATCACACGCACACTTTCAAAGAAAAAAAAACTTTAGCAATACACACTAAACTGAGCATGTGCAGAGTTCTTCCAAGGGCTCTGTACTATCAGCAGATGGATTGGGGAGAGTAGAAGAAGGGGAGTATCAGAGAAGACATGATCAAGCAGCCATTTTACACAATGCAGAGGATTAACCCCTGAGGTGCCACAGTGAGTATAACAAACATGTTTTACTGCATAAACAGACAAATTTTACTGCTGTGGCTTTAGAAACACTTTAAGGTGGAGGAGGTGTTAATTTTTAAACATTTTTTATATATTATACTTTCATTTTTTTTAAAAACTTTATTTATTGCTATTTCAAGGTGTTTACAAGTCCTTGGGCAGCTGACAGATACTATTTATAGAGGTATTTATCTACATCCCTAATGTCTCTCCTGCACTCTGTCCAATTAGATTAAAAACAGAAACAGTTCCAGACCTTCTGTTTACAGTGCTACAGTGGTCATGGGGGTTTTTTTTGGTCTGATCCCAAAACTGGTCAGATTAGCGATCTCCTCCCACTCATCAATCTATGTTTGTTGTGTTCTAGGTGACAAGATTAGCAGTGAGCCCTGAAAGGGGGTTTCCAGCTGTCCAGATCCCTTTTTAATAAAACGCCGGAGCGTGAATTTAAAGGGCGAAACAAGCTCATGGCTGCTTGTGGCAGGGTGCTATAGGGAAGAACGAGTGCGGCACTATTCACCACAGCCCGACTCCCTGAGGTGCACCACGAGTGACACTGGGCAGGACTGTGTCTCAGCAATCATTCGGTGTTAAGCTGGCCATACACTAGTAGACGTTTTTGTTCAGTGTGCATATACGCTATACAGCACGAATGGATGAATCCCCCACTGAGTATTGTATTCTGACAGCTGCCACTGGCACTGGCTGTCAGAATATGTTGAATGCTGCTAAACACTGACTGCAGGTGACTGGCTGCAGTTACTGTTTAGCTCCTTCGATTTTCAGATCGAAAGATGCCAGACGGTATGGTGCCGACAGTGCTGCTACTCGAGTTTCGGCCACTTCTTCAGAAACTGGCTGAAATTTGATCAGTAAACGGGCAGCTTAAAGCAGAACTATAGGCAAAACTTTTTTTCTATTTTGGATAGAGTAAGGGTGGGTCATAACTCCAGATTTTTTTTTCGCCATCTGTGCCTCAATGCGGAGATTTGCCTTCAGTTCAGTGAGCGGAAATCCCTGCAAATTAAGGGAATTCCTTGGAGACCCCCAGGTCACCATTGGAAGATTTCCCTTCTATTACTTTTCTGGGGCAACTTTCCTGGCCGGTCATCAGAGCACTGATGATCAGTGTGCCCTACTGATCAGTGTAGCCCCAGCAGTGCCACCTGTCAGTGTCCATCAGTGCCTTGTGTCAGTGCTCATCAGTGCCAAGTGCCAGTCCCCATCTGTGCCACATCAATGCCACATATCAGTGCCTACCAGTGCACATCAATGCCACATATCAGTGCCCATCTGAGCTGCCTTTCAGTGTCACCCATCAGTGCCAGTCAGTGCCACCTATCAATGCCAATCAGTGCCACCTATCTGCCAGTCAGTGCCATGTATCAGTGCTGCCTTTCAGTGCCCATCAGTGATGCCTGTCAATGCTCATCAGTGCCACCTATCAGTGTCCATCAGTGCAGCCTATCAGTGCAGCCTCATTAGTGCACATCAGTGAAGGAGAAAAAACACTTATTTACAAAATTTTATAACAAAAACTAAGAAAAAAATGTTTTTTTTTTTCAAAATTTTCAGTAGTTTTTGGTATGTTTAACCTCCTTAGCAGTTTTCCCGAGTGTAGCTCGGGGTAAAATTTCAATACCAAGAGCGGTAACCCCGAGCTACACTCGGGCTTACCATGCGGCGTTGCTCAGGGGGTCCCTGCAGCACTTACCTTGTCCTTCGCTCCCGTGATGTGTCCCCTGCAGCGTCCCCGGCCATCTCCTCCGGCCGATGCCGGCATCCGGCTTCCATGTTCCGGTCCCTGTGACGTCGGACCGTACGGGCGCCGGAACCGGTGGGAAATTTGACATTTTTAAAAAATGTCATTTTTGCTGTCATTGCTGTTTCAATGCATTTCACATATATTTTGTCCCTACTGCTTTGTCCTGTGCCCTGCCTGCATTTTGACTGTTCTTTCTGCCTGGAAACTTAGAAAAGTCCATGGCGTCCAAAAAGCGTCCCTTTACGTCAAAAGCGGTTTTAGAACAGAGAACGATAGTAAATTCAGAACCACTTGCAGAATTGAGTGATGATTCGTGGGGAAATTCGTCATCAGACACTCAAAACGATTTTGCGACTTTGCTCAGTGATATGCAAATTTGCCTCTGTATTTCAAATTTCAGTGTTTTTGGTTTGATTATATTATTGAATTAAATTTAATATTATTATATTATTATTTTTTATGATTATTTATTAAATTATAATTTATGATTTCGTGTTTCAAGTTTTATCATATCCGGAATGTTTACTAGACTCTTGTTCGTACAGATTTCAGTGAGTTATTCCTAAAAATTACAGCCTACAATAAAAAAAACTACATATTTCCATACAAAAAAATGGTACCGCTTTCAGCACAAAAAATCGTAAAGAATCATACCGCCGAGGAGGAGGTTAAGAAAAAATAAAAAACCCAGAGTTGATTAAATACCACCAAAATAAAGCTCTGACACAAAAAAAATGATAAAAAGTTCATATGGGTACAGTGTTGCATGACCAAGCAAATGTCATTCAAAGTGTGACAGCGCTGAAAGCTGGAAATTGGTCTGGGCAGGAAGGGGGTATAAGTGCCCTGTAGGTTTGTGGTTAAGGCACTGTGCAGTATAAGGCTACTTCTTATATGAGGCAGCTCCAATACCACAAAAAAGCCCAGTGAGGTTTGTCAAGGTATTGTCAGGCATATAGTAACCAGACTTTTTTTGTGGCACTGGAGCAGTAAAGGCTCCTTTCTGGCAACCCGACCAAGCAGCTCATTTTTGTTCAGCACTGACTGGTATTTCCAAGGCTTTGGATATCTTTTCATATCCTTTTCCATTGTTATAAAATTACCTTGTTATGCAGGTTTTGACATTTCTCTTCTGATCCCCATGGCTCAGTATCTAGCCTGCTCAGTGCACCCACATGAGAGCTAACACAAACTCATTGGCTATTTATACAGGGGCACCAATTACAATTTGAAAAGCCACAGATGTGGGAAATTAACCTTTATTTGCCATTTTGACTTGTGTGTGTCACCTTGTGTGTCTGTACCAAGGACAAACATTCCAGGGTATGTAAACTTTTGATCAGGGCCATTTGGGTGATTTCTGTAATTATAATTTAAAAAGCCAAATGGCTTCATATGACCACTATCCTTAAATAAAAGGCAGTTTTTTGGCATGATCAGTCATATTTTCAATATCAATATCAAAATTTCACAATTTCTGCCAGGGTATGCAAACTTTTGAGCACAACTGTCCCTTCCTATTTACAAATGCTAGTAGCATAAGGATTACAAATAGTGAGTACCTGTCATGGTTTATGTTTAGTGCAGTATTCCTAAATCACATTCCATTCTGTGTCTCCGCTCCCCCCCCCCCCCACTTGGCCCCCTCCTTAATCACCGCCCTCCACCCACCTCTCATCCTGCCGTGGCTCTTTGAAGCCGAGCCATGCAGGACAAGAGGTGTGACTCCTGTCACTATCTTCTCCCCGTCCTGCTAGGCCGGAGGGAAGAAGATGGTTTCCCCACAGCGAAGTTCACACCTCTCCGCGGAGAGGTGCGAACCTCCCGTGGGGATGTTCTGGACCGCGGCAGTCAGCCTGACACCGCACGGCCCCAGCATCCGCAGCGCGGGCACAAGAGCTCCCGCGCTTGCAGATGCCGCCCGACAAAGGCCGCGCTCTCGAGAGCGCGGCCCGTTTCAAGGGGGGCGTGCCTCGTAGCCAGGCGACGAGGCACGCCACCCACGGTTGCCAGGACGACCAGGGAGCGTCCTCAATCGGCTTAAGAGGCCGATGCTGGGCTCCCCGTTCGTTGTTCTGCTGCCAAGCCACTGAGAGGTCTCTGCTGCGGTGAGACTCTCGTGGCCACTCTGCAATTACCCCAGGGATTTAGGGGGGAGAAATAACACCAGCTGCCACTCTGCTAGTACCCAGGATTTTGGGGAGAAATACGCCAGCTGCCACTCTGCAATTACCCAGGGATTTTCGGGAGAACTACGCCAGCTGCCACTCTGAAGGTACCCCAGATTAGGGGGGAGAAATAACGCCAGCTGCTGCTCTGCAATTGCCCAGGCTTGGGAGGATTATTACCCACTGACTACGCCACGCATACTCAGGGCAAGTACTTGCTGCTATAATGCCCCTGCTTTGCACCCAGGAGTGCTGGCATACTGCTGCTGGAGAGTCAAACCTGGTCCCTGCTGCCAGGACCCTCTGCTGTGGGCTGAGAAGGGTTGCCCCGTGGCTGCCGTCTGCTATTGAACTCAGGCATCCCTGCCGGATCCGTGAGTGTATGCTCCCCTGTGTTATCCCCCTGAACTGTTCCTGTACTCCATCCCCGTTTCCCTGTTTGGATTACAAAGTGTTGTAGAGACTCTAACTTTGCCCCTAGGGCCGGACTACAATTATTTTGAGCCCTCTCCTTGCTACTATGCCCCATACCGGGTACTGCCACACTCCCTGCAGACCCCAATTGAGTGACTGTCATTTGCTTTAATAAAGCTTTGTGTGTTTGCCATCTGCTTTGTGTGTTCTGTCCTGCCTACCCTCCATCACAATACCGATTAAGGCTCCATGTACACGGGACATTTGGAAAACACTTCTGAATGATGGAAACTGCTGGAAAACGTAGGTTAAAAAACATCTGTTTAGCAAGCGTTTGCATACCGCGTTTATGCGCGTTTGCGTTTAGAAGCGTTTTTTAAAGATAACCTCAGGAGACCCAAAATGCCCAGAATGCACTGAAAAACAGTAAAAAAAATTAACTATTTCAGACATTTTGAGAGAAATAGAGAGAGCAGTATTTGTTGAGATTAGGTGTCTTTTTTTTTTTTATTTTAGGTGTTTTTATGTGTTCCAGTTCATTTCTGTGCAGATATTATTGCAGCAGTGTCTAACATATTTTCTTTCATGTGAAACCTCAAAGTATGGTGTACCAGCTCCATTTGAGTACCGGGAAAACGCTTTGCATGCATTTTTCATGATGAAAAAAGGCTCTGGACAGCATCTAGAAACGGAAGAGTTAAAAAAAATTTCCAAACGCAAATGCTTATAAATGCAGTTAGCCGCATTTACAAGCGTTTAAAACGCTGATAAAATCTACTCCTGAACACAAGTTTGTTGCGTTCAAAAAACGACTTTAAACTCAACTGCCTGTAAATGACAGTGTACATGGACACATAGGGAAACATTAGGGAAAGTTCAGGAGCTGCAGAAAAGCTCCTAAACGTGAGTTTATCAGCTACAGTGTACATGGAGCCTAAAAGAGTGAAATGCCTGTTCCCCCATCTATATACAGCTTGACTGTAGGTGGCGCTAACATTGGTCACATCATTTGCATTCATTGGGCGCCCCAGGCTTAATAGATTCAGTACAAATGCCATATATAGGCAGTTATCTTTCCGAGAACATGTGGAGAAATGTATGCCTATCCTATAATGGGACGTTGCAGAGTGGCGACCCCCCTGCCACTCATAATAGTGGTGTACTAGCAGTGCTTTTAATATGCCCTCCTTCGCATTTAACAATTGAACTATCAGGCTCTGCTTGCATGAGAGTATTTCAAAGGAGATCTTTCCATGGGTAGTAAGTGCTTACATGTACAGGATGTGCTGATTATCTATATCTAGGGGAAGTGATGATCATATGCAGGGCTCAATTTGCAGTATCATTGATAACGGTCAGCCTGTTTTCTTCCTTTTTTAACACATAGTAAACAAAAGAAACATTAGATATCCAGAATACATAAGCCCTTGGTGCGGAATGTACACAAATATGCAGCCCCACTGGACTGGGATTTTTTCCATGGGGCCACATATTTGCATACTTGTCTTTGTGCTGGCAGTGTGCCGCATGGTGTGCTCCCAGCACAGAGCCCGGGGTCGCACGCCCAATTCCAGGTCACCGGATTGGCTATCACACTGATCTGTCACTGTGAAGCACACCCCTGTGTTCTCTCGTTGAATGGAGGAGAGAGATTAATTGTATCTCTCTCTTTGCAGAGAGAGAGGAAAAAAAAAAGTATATATTTAAAAAAGAAAAAAATATCTAGATCAAGGTTTAATCTAGGTCAGTGCCAGGGTAAGTGTTTGGTTCAGGGTCTTCTTTTTTAAAATTTTTAAAGTAGGATCAGTGTATTTTAGGTAAGATTTAAAAAAAAAAAAAAAAGATTTCCTTGGATAATAGCAATAATAAATAATAATAAAAAAAAGATTTATTTTGATAATAATAAAAGAAAAAATGATCAGGAGATATCCATTCACCACCAAGATGAAAGCCCAATTTGTCCTGAAAAAAAACTATGTATAATCCACCTGGATGCACAAAGTAGTTGTGATGATATGTACAGTTTACTAACATGTCAAAGTTGCAAAATTGTGTTTAGGCATTAACATTTATTTTTTATCTTTAGGCACAAAGGGGTTAATTTGTGAGTACTGTGGGTTTCTGGTCCCACATTATTAATATATATCAATAAAAAAAAAAAAAAAAAAAAAGACACAAACATTTTGTCCCGACCACTTTATGTATGGTAGCAGCAATTAGAGATAAAGCAACTGAATCCATTTTAATTATTCCAAAGAGTGTTTTTTTTTCCATTAGTAAGCCATTATTTGTAAACATAAGGATTGAAAATGCCAGCTCCCATAGCTACTGGCTATTAAAGTCTTGGATGAGTGTTTTGTTGTGTTTTTTTTATTCAGGGCAACTGAAGAATTCGTGAACTAAAATATCATTGTTCTTGTTTTTAATAAAAAGTTTTTTTTTTTTTTTTTTTGCATTTTTGAAAGTCATAGTGCAGAAACTGGAAACAGGAGTCAATGATCCTTCTTTCAAAACTTATCCAACTGAACTGTACACAATGCAAAAGTTTCTAGTGCAGTATAAAACCCCATCCATGGTGTCATGGCAGTAACAAAACTCATTGTGATTTCATTATAAACCAGCATATCCTCTGATCCAAAAAGTTTTAATACAGGTTCCATTAACTGTGTTTCTGTCTCTTCCAGAATCGTTTAACATCTGAGTGTCCAGCTGGTGTGACCACCATAACTCGCTGGCCAGGGTTTTCAAATACAAGTACACCAAGATCTTGAGCATAATTTCTTAGCAGCTCAAAGTCCACCTGTGAAAGGAACTGATTGTATAGAACACCTAATGGATGAAGAGAGAAAAACAAAAACGATGAAATAAGAAAAAAACAGCAAAGATCTTCAACACTGGTTCCTAAATTCATTCTTCTTTGGTAGAATATAATACACTGCTCAAAAAAATTTGGAACTCTGGTACCTTGTTCCTCAAGTTGGGGTAGCAAACGATGAGGAGTTTCGCCACCCCTCCCCTTGCTAGAAGTATAAATGATTGGTTTCAAGATGGACTCCTCTTTGGCCTGATGAGGGAGCATGCATGCTCCTAACGCGCACCAACCCCCTCTATCATATGTGACCAGAAGTGATGCCTTCTTCTCTCTGAGGGAATCCCGCAACTCGGAGGACATGCTGGAAGCCACCAGCATCACCGCCACACACCGGATTCTCCCCATATGCCTAGAGGTTCCTACTCATTCACTAAGTGGATGATTCTCTAGATCACAAGCGCTATTCTCCTTATCCTTTGTGGGTGGCCTGTATTACTCTATTTTTAATAAATTAAAGAGTTTTAATACTGCACTTAGAGGGCACCGCCTCTTCCTTCCTAATCACTGACATTTTTTTCCCTACTCATCTTTTCTGACTGTTTTTCACTAGTTTTGCATTTGGCTAGGGTCAGTGTCACTACTGGTAGCATGAGAATAGACCTGGACCCTACAGAGGTTGCACAGGCAGTCCAACTCCTCCACGATGGCACAACAAGACGTGCCATTGCAAGAAGATTTGCTGTGTCTCCCAGCACAGTCTCAAGAGCATGGAGGAGAGACAGGTAGTTACTCTAGGATAGCTGGAGAGGGCCGTAGAAGGTCCTTAACCCATCAGCAGGACCGGTATCCTTTGTTCAAGGAGGAACAGGATGAGCACTGCCAGAGCCCTACAAAATGACCTCCAGCAGGCCACTGATGTGAATGTCTCCGACCAAACAATCAGAAACAGACTTCATGAGGGTGGCCTGAGGGCCCGACGTCCTCTAGTGGGACCTGTGCTCACTACCCGGTACCATAGAGCTTGATTGGCATTTGCCATTGAACACCAGAATTTGCATGTCCGTCACTGACGCCCTGTGCTTTTTCACAAATGAGAGCAGGCTCACCCTGAGCACATGTGACAGACAAGAAAGGGTCTGGAGAAGCCATGGAGAACGTTATGCTACCTGTAACATCATTCAGCACTACCGTTTTGGTGGTGAGTCAGTGATCTGGGGAGGCATATCCATGGAGGGACAAACAGACCTCTACAGGCTAGACAATGGCACCCTAACAGCCATTAGGTATCGGGATGAAATCTTGGACCCATTGTCAGACCGTACGCTGGTGCAGAAGGTCCTAGGTTCCTCCTGGTGCATGACAATGCCCGGCCTCATGTTGCGAGAGTATGCAGGCAGTTCCTGAAGGATGAAGGAATTGATATCAATGAATGGCCCCCACATTCGCCTGACCTAAATCCAATTGAACACCTCTGGTATATAATTTTTCGGTCAATCCGATGGTGCCAGGTTGCACCTCAAACTGTCCAGGATCTCAGTGATGCCCTGCTCCAGATCTGGGAGGAAATACCGGAGGACACCATCCGTCCTCTCATTAGGAGCATGTCCCCGACATTGTCAGGCATGCATACAAGCATGCAGGGGCCATACAAACTACTAAGTACCATTTTGAGTTGCTGCAATAAAATGTCAGCAAAATGGACTAGCCTGCCGCATAATTTTTTCACTTTGCTTTTCGGGGTGTCTTTGAATTCAGTCCTCGATAGGTTGATAATTTTCATTTCCATCAAAAAAAGGGGCATCCATACGTTTCTAACACATTACCCAGTTCATATAAGTATAGATATCCAGCATGAATATTTTTCCCCATTGAGATCTGATGTGTTTTCAAAGTGTTCCCTTAATTCTCTTGAGCAGTGTACCTAAATATTTCTCTGTTCACTAGATGCAAATGATATTAGAAATATTAATTTCCTAAAGCTCCCCACCACATTTCATTCTCACTGTACAAATGTCTTATAAAATGATGGGATACTCTTGGTAGCTCTAAAAGGAGAATGAACAATGATTAAAGCAAGATTTTAACTGATATGTGACACTTAAAGAACTACAAATCAAGCAGCAATGAAATTCAGGTTGTGTATAGTATAAGGATTCAACAGCTAAAAGTAACTCAACAGCCCAAGTGGTTTACAAAGATGAAACCTCTTTATTTCATTCATGATGGTTGTTTTCAATGATTTGCAAATCCAATAAACCCATTATTTATTCACAATAGAAAAACATATCAAATGTTTAAACTGAGAAAATACACCATTGTAAGAAAAATAAAATGTAATTTTGAAATTGATGGCAGCAACATGTCTCAAAAAAGTTGATAGGGCCATGTTTTACTACAGTGTAGAATCCCCTCTTTTAACAACACTCTGTAAACGTCTGGGAACAGAGGAGACCAGCTTCTGCAGTTTTGGGAAAGGAATGTTGTCCTATTCTTGTCTGACATAGGATTCTAACTGCTGAACAGTCCTGGGTCTTTGTCATATTTCTCCTTTGAAGATGCACTAAATAGTTTGTCAGTGAAAGGTCTGGACTACAGGTAGGCCAGTTAAGCTCCCAAACTCTTCTACTAGCCATGCTGTTGTCATAGATACAGTATGCGGTTTGCCATTGTCCTGCTGTAATATGCAAGGCCCTCCCTAAAAAAAAGACATTGTCTGGATGGGAGCATATGCAGCTCTAAAACCTGGATATATCTTTCAGCATTGATGGTACCTTTCAAGATGTGCAAGCTGCCCATTCCATACACACTAATGCTCCCCTATACCATCAGAGATGCAGGCTGTTGATCTGAGTGCTGATAAACTGGAAGGTCCATCTCCTTTTTGGTTCAGAGGACACCACGCCCATAGTTGCAAAAAAAAATTTTAAATTTTGATTTGTCCGATCACAGAACAGTTTTCTACTTTGCAACAGACCATTTTAAAATTAGCTTTGGCCCAGAGAAGACAGTGGTATTTCTGGATCATGTTCAGATATGGCTTCTTCTTTGCGAGATAGAGCTTTACCTTTCATTTTTGAATGGTACGGTGAACTATGTTCACAGGCAGCCCATGCAGTGATGTCCATCACAGAATCATGCCTGCTTTTAATGCAGTGTTTTCTGAGAGCCCAAAGATCATGGGCATTCAATATTGCATTTTGGCCTTGTCCCTTGTGCACAGAGATTTCTCCAGATTCTCTGAAACATTTGATATTATGTACTGTAGCTGATTATATTATTAAAGTCTTTGCAATTTTCCATTGAGGAACATTATTTTGAAATTGTTCAACAATTTTTAAACGCAGTTTTTACAGATTGGGGAACCTCTGGTCATCTTTACTGAGACACTCTGATTCTCTAAGATGCTCTTTTTATACACAGTCATGTAATTGGCAACATGTCAGTAACACAATTAGTTGCAATATGTTCTTCCAGCTCTTCCCTGTTAGTACCACTTCATTTACTAGCTTTTTGTTGTGCTGTCCCAACTTTTCTGAGATGTGTTGATGCCATCAATTTGAAAATTACTTTTTTTTTATTTTTTAATTGCAATTTTTTTTAGTTTAAACATTTTATATCTTTTGAATAAAGAATGGATTTATGAGACTTTTAAATCTTTGCATTCTGTTTTTATGTAGATTTTACACAGTGTGCAAACTTTTTTGGAATTGGGGTTTTAAATTAAACTAATATACACGAAAATGCCACCGAGCTCCCTCGAGCTGGCCTGGTCATTATCATTAACTATACTTTTTTTTTTTTTTTAATATATGGCTTGCCACAAGCACAATTAAATCATCCATCACACACCATGTATGCCTATACTTCCTCATACTTATTTTGAAAACCATCATTGTTTGTTGGTGCTATGAGAAAGAGGTATGTAATAATTATATGTATAGAAAAACTTTGGCCGAAGTTAGAAATAGTTGGCACATATGGCTAGAGAGTCGAATACTTCCCACATTCAGTTCATTATCTTACCACTGTATAAGCACATATACTTTTTCATAATATTTTTAGATAAACAGCATCTGTACAGAGCACTGACAAGAAACAGAGTACAAATAGAGTTTCCAGACCTTCAGAAAAACGAAGGCGATCTCTCTCAAGCTCCCAGAGGCGAATCTGATCAGTGATAGTTGGTGGAAGTACTGGAGTCTGGAAAAAAAAAAAGAGATGAAAATTGCACCTTAAGTTCCAACACATGTCATAACCGTCACAAAGAATTGTCAGAGCTTCATCTATTAAAGGGTCAGTAGAAAGGTAATACAGTCTATGGTGATGTGGACTGGGCATCCCAGACAGGCAACCATGTTCAGAGGTCCTAAGCACCCATGACAGTTTGTAATAGGAGATCTAACAGCAGTGATCCACTTTACGTAACCTCAGGAGGGCCTCCTGTAAGTCACATTTCTACAAGAGTCTGGAAGTTCAAAGGACCTGTTGTTATCTCCACTTAAATAATAACCAGAACACTGCAGCATGTCCGAATTTGTTTACCCTCTATCTGTCTGCTAATAAGAAACATCTTCCTCGGAGGGAATATTAGCCAATAAACATTTCTGTCTACCTGATGCTGAAGAACCAAAAACTTCAGTGTATTTCATAGCTCATAGGGCATATTTACCTCTATCAGTTATTTGGCAGTATTGTGATCCCAAACACCCCTATGCTAGGAGGTACAAGAAGCGATTAGGTACTGACAACCCTCCTTGGAAAAACAGATATCCAACAATCTTTCATATTTATATCCATTCAACAGAAATTCAGTGCTGGATAATAATGTATACGTTAGCAAACTGTAACCTATATAAATTCAAAGATATTATTGCCTATAGAAAACTGTAGTCTGGGACATGGTCATAAACAAAGTGACATCCCAGCAGCCACGCCTTAGACCTGATGGGTGATTGGCCAAGTCTTTTCTGCTAAACACCCCCTCCAGGTCCAGAAACGAGGGGCTGTGAACTCACTTGACAGCTCTCATTTTACCATCAAAATAAGGAACACCTGTCAAGTCCCATGAGAGCCACTGTACCACCTTGCCCATTGATTGGACCCTGCTGAACCAAGGCTTTTTTTTCTATTTTTCAACCCTTTTGCTTTGCTGTTGCATTGTTGTCTCTTCGTTACCTTTCAATATCCTTTTTCTGTAAATTTTTTCCATTTGCACACATTTTTTATCTTTTCTTTTCCAATGTTTATTGAATGTTTCCATACAATATAGAAAATAAAGAAAAATATAAATGCCTTCAGTCTGAAGGCCCAGTTTGAAGTATCCAACGATAAACAGGGGGACGGTATTGCCCCACAGGCAGTATACAGTGGATACATAGAAATAGAGACAATAATCAACCTTGAAACGAACGAACTGGCGGTCATAAGGTACTAAGGAAAATTATTGACAGCTATACTATCAATTCATTAGCGAAAGTTGCCATGAGGCGATAAAGCCACTCTACAAGGGGTATGGGCATGGACAGCTTAGCTTACCCTTAAAGCGGAGGAAAAAAATTAACACTGCAGCTTGGGCCTCTGATAAATGCCATGCTTCCAAAAGGAAAGCGGGGAGAGGGGGATAAGAGAGATTGAAGGAAGAAAAGAAAAGGAAGAAAGAAAAAAGGCAAAGTCAAGAGATAGGTTGTCCACCCCCCAGGTCATCGTCAGAACACTCTTCATGCAAAAGTTTGTAGGTATTGTATACAAGGATTCCTTTTTACCTTTTCATAATTAAAACAATATTTTGAAAATTTAAAATTTTTTCTAACGCGCTAACACAGAATTTAAAGAATCCCTGTCTCTTGAAGAGTGCTACTGTATTGTAAATCTCTAGAAATGCCTGTCTGTGGTGACAGTGTATTACAGACATTTATTCTGAAGTCATAATTGCTATTGCTAATCTTGTGAACATTTACTATTTTTCGATAAAAGTAGTTGGTGGCAGTAAAGAGTTAATTGCTTAGTTAACTAAACCCATTGACAGTCACTCTCAATCTGTTGGCACTTCAACTGTGGTCCCGCAAGCTGGAAAATATTTATGCAGGGTGAGGCTGAGTGTGTCATTGTTGCGTATCACTGACAGTGCTGTGTGAGTTGACCAGCCTTTTGTCACAAATTGGTGAAAAAGTGCAGTGGTCTGACCTACTTTTAGCACAGAGTCCACTGCTGACATTATATACTGTATTTTGGAAATCTGCTGTAGTTCTTGCTTGCATTTCTGTCTACCTGCGAGTTTCCAACATTTGTGTGTTTCAGCATTTTCTGTTGTATTCGTCTTAACAAATATAAAATTCAGCAGTAGAACAGCAGCCCCATAATAGCCACAGCAAGTACGCTGACCCACAGATACATTATGAAACATTCTAATCTCCAGCTTATACCAAACACTGTAATCACTTTTATACACACAGGGCCTAGGACAATACTGTTGGTTTTCAACAGCATCCACCTACTGCAGTACTACTACAATAGAAAAATTAAGAAAAATACAATGCCATGAAAAAGTATTCATACCCTTGGAAATGTTCCACATTTTGTCATGTTACAACCAAAAATATAAATTTATTTTATTGGGATGCTATATGATAGACCAACAGAAAGTGGCACATACTTGTGACATTTTTTACAAATAAATATCTGAAAAGTGTGGCGTGCATTTGTATTTAGCCCCCTTTACTCTGATAACCCTAACTAAAATCTAGTGGAACTAATTGCCTTCAGAAGTCACCTAATTAGTAAATTACACATAATCCACCTGTGTGTAATTTAATCTCAGTATAAATACAGCTGTTCTGTGAAGCCCTCAGAGAACATTAGTGAACAAACAGCATCATGAAGGCCAAGGAACAAACCAGACAGGCCAAGCATAAAGTTTAAAGCAAGGTTAGGTTATAAAAAGAAAAATCCCAAGCTTTGAACATCTCATGGAGCACTGTTCAATCCATCATCCAAAAATGGAAAGAGTATGGCACAACTGCAAACCTATCAATACATGGTTGTCCACCTAAACTGACAGACCAGGCAAGGAGAGCATTAATCAGAGAAGCAGCAAACAGGCCCATGGTAACTCTGGAGGAGCTGCAGAGATCCAAAGCTCAGGTGAGAGAATCTGTCCACAGGACAACTATTAGCCATGCACTCCACAAATCTGGCCTTTATGGTAGAGTGGCAAGAAGAAAGCCATTGTTGAAAGAAAGCCATAAGAAGTCCTGTTTGCAGTTTGCGAGAAGCGGGGGACACAGCAAACACGTGGAAGAAGGTGCTCTGGTCAGATGAGACCAAAATTGAACTTTTTGGCCTAAAAGCAAAATGCGATGTGTGGTGGAAAACTAACATTGCACATCACCCTGAACACACCATCCCCACCGTGAAACATGGTTGCTGCAACATCATGTTGTGAGGATGCTTTTCTTCAGCAGGGACAGGGAAGCTGGTCAAAGTTGATGGAAAGATGGAAGGAGCCAAATACAGAACAATCTTAGAAGAAAGCCTGTTAGAGTCTGCAAAAGTGTGGAGACTGGGGCAGAGGTTCACATTCCATCAGGGCAACAATGCTAAGCATATAGCCAGAGCTACAATGGAATGGTTTAGATCAGGGTTCTCCAGTTTATGGTCCTTCGGACTTTAAGAGGGCCGGAGTGTGGCCAGTGGGGGTAGAAAATGTTTCAGGCCCAGCATCAGTGAGAATAAACATGGCCTCAGGGATGGTGGTCAGTAGGAAGAAGAGTAATGCCCCATCATTGGTATTAATGTGAGGAATAGTACCCCATAAGTGTTATTAGTGGAAGAAATACTGCCCCATTGTTGGTGTCAATGGGAGGAATAGTTCCCCAAGGGCCGGATAAAGGATAGCAAAGGGCGACATCCGGCCCTTGGGCTGCAGTTTGGAGACCCCTGGTTTAGATCAAAGCAAAAACGTGTTAGAATGACCCAGTCAAGGTCCAGATCTAAATCCAAATGAGAATTGGTGGCAAGACTTGACAATTTCTGTTAACAGATGCCCTCCATCCAATCTGACAGAGCTTGAGCTATTTTGCAAAGAAGAATGGGCAAAAATTTCACTCTAGATGTGCAAAGCTTGTAGAGACATACCCAAAAAGACTTGCAGCTGTAATTGCAGCGAAAGATGGTTCTAAAAAGTGTTGACTCAGGGGGCTGAATACAAATGAACTCCTCACTTTTCAGATATTTGTAAAAAAAATTTAAAACCATTTATCGTTTTCCTACCACTTAACAATTATGTGCCACTATGTGTTGGTCTATCACACAAAATCCCAATAAAATACATTTACGTTTTTTGTTGTAAAATGACAAAGTGTGGAAAATTTCAAGGGGTATGAATACTTTTTCAAGGTACTGTGTGTACATTGCCAGTCTGCTCAAACAACATTTAATCAGGGTACAAATATCTGAAGAACCAGGTATCCTAAATACATAAAACCTTTCCACTGAGGACAATTAATATGTTTACCTAGATTTGACAGACAGGTTAATGAATTTAATAATATTTTTTTTTCAATCTTTTAATTCAGCAGGCACCAGAAAGATCTATACAAACTGATAAAAATATAGGACATTTAAACACCTTCGCAAACAAAAATACCTCACCTGTTGCAACATCCCGGAGTGTGCTCTAGTCCTTAGGAAATGGATTATCTATAGATTGGAATACAAACATAAATGTTCAATATCCTGAACTATGCTAATAATAAGCACTCTAATTTTCCTGCTGTACCTTGGCTGGTGCAAAAAACTCAAATATTGTGATGAAGTAAATTAATTCTTGTTCCTACACATAAGAGGTGAGAATGGCAGCCCAGTCATACAGTGTGGTCACCTTTTCTGCCATCCATAATGACCACAAATTATTACTCCTGAACCACCTTTAAAATGGACCTGGCTTCTTCAAGCATTTCAAACTATCAACATGGCATCTCACAATTATGACTAATTTACTCAACATATTCATATGGCAGTTGGTATCATTGCAGCCCAGCCTAGGTTTGCCTGTAACGTGGTAGTTTAAAAAAAAAAAATCATACCATGCAAATTAAAAAAAAAAAGAAGTTCTCTACAGATATGAATACAGAAGTTATAAACTCTGATCTCCTTAAAGGAAAAGTTTACCTTTAAAAAAAAATAAATAAATGCACTTTTATTTTGCAGGTAAAAAAAAAAAAAAAGCCTGTAAAGCATTGCACCCGGGAGCAGCAGATCGCTGGTGCCATGCAGAACTCCAACAGACTGTCAGTGTAAGTTGTCTGCTTGTAACTCATATGAGCAGGCAGTTTCACACTGACAGGAAGAAACAATGACCAATCACAACGCTCAACAGTTCATTGAGAACTACAAGTTGACACCTGAAAAGGATATCAGTACTTGCAGTTGTTTCATTCACAGAACTCTGTGAATGAATCACATGGCTGTGTAGGCGGAGCCCTGCACAGCCACACTTTTTTCAAAAAATGACAGCTGGAACAGGGAGTTTCTCCCCATACTGGGCTGAAATAAATATAGGAAGAATCCCCCTGCGCTCCACAGAACCTTTAACTTAAAGTCAGCTGCTATCACCTTTTCCCTATACCTTAGGATATGTGCAAATAAAATGTATATATTTTGTGATGAAGCGCTCAACTTATATAGTGTATACAAACCCTTTTTCTTACATCAATAATATTGTGAAAAATTCAAAATAAGTGCTTAATTCCCTCTTAAATTCTATAAACTATACAAAATCATTTATAAATAACTGGTGCAAATTCACACTCCTATTTATGCCCACTAGTGGTCAAAAACCGTGAAAATTCTAATACAAATGATAACACTTTATCTGTGCAAGGTGATAAGTGTATCCAATTACATGAACTAAATCAAATAAACAGTCCAAAGACTTGTGATGCCACACTGTGCAAATAATAAGTGTTCAATACACAGTGATTATAACTTCACTCCATGCTGCAACGTGCTCTTTGTGACACTCTGATGTGACTCCCCTGGATTTAGCCAAAATGCCTCCTCACCTTCCACATTCGACCCTTGCGGGTCACAAAGCCTTAAATATATAGTATCTCAGCCAGATTTTCATGCTCCACTGACGCCACCGACTCAATTAAGATCCCCCTCCAAGCAATGAATTCCTCTCAGATCACTTTCCTCACAATATGGACTCAAACACAGAACGTATCAGCTCTGACCCCGCACACCAGCAGTCCCTCCAGCACGCACAGCACCAGTAACGCCACCATGGTACTACCAAGTTCTCAGAATCCTGACATCTCAAAGTTCCGCCCTCTCTCCATACTGCTGTCACACAGAAGGCTCGGATCACTGAGCTGCTGCAGGAGTGGGAACATGTTATGTGTTCCAGCCTAAAAAAGGGTGGTACATGTAACCTGTTCCCGAAGGTGAACTTTAAAGATTGGTCACTTTGTACGACATTGTCAAAATTGCCCATTCAGGGCAAAGTGACAGTGTCTTTAAAAAGGGGCCCCCCAACCCAATGACCTGGCCAGTGCTTCCCTGTTGCTCATTCCTAAGTTGCAGCCAGCAGCAATACCCAGCACGTTCGAGCATGGAGGTGCATATGACCTACTCCCATGTGACAGCACTTGAGTTTAGCAGGCAATCACTAGGCCTGAGCACTGTCATATGTCCAACACTGGTGAGTTTGGTTCAGGCAGCAATAGAAGAAAAAAAACACAAAAAAGGGAGAAAAATAAATGAATATTAGTCGGTCAGAGCCTTTCTCAAAGCCCCCTTTGCCCTGACTAGGCAAGTGTGACAGTGTCTTTTTAAACTAATCATTGTAATTTAACATTCTCCTTGCTGCTTTGTACAGGAAGTACCCATGCTTTAATTTTGGGCAAGCACAACCTACAACCCCGCACTCCCCTTCTAGGTATCTTTTCCCTGATTTAATTTAAAACGGTTGGCACTTCATTTGTACAGCAAGTTTACAGTAGATGTCCCCATTCAGTGACTTATGATCCATATTTGACTCTTCTCTAGCAACAGTCAATATGTGCATGCACATCTTAAAAGTATAATGAATTTTGTTCATTCTTTAGCTCACCTGTTTCCATGTACATATTTTTTATTTCTACAAAATATTTTGTATCCATCTTCTGTAACGTTATCCTGCTAATTAGTTCTCTTTCAAACAAGTACTGGTTTAATATCTTATAAAAAGCTATTGTCCTGCTACCGGCTCTTTGCCCGTTAGATACAAGTGTTTATTCTAAAATTATCATATGCAATAAATAAATGAAAAAAATTATATTATATATACACACACACACACACACACACACATACATGACTATTGTAACTCCCTCCTCATTGGCCTACCTCATCGCAGGCTATTCCCTCTTCAGTCTATCATGAATGCTGCTGCTAGACTCATCCACCTTACTAACCATTCCGTATCTGCCACCCCTCTCTGCCAATCCCTTTACTGGCTTCCCATTGCCCAATGGATAAAATTCAAAACATTAACACATAAAGCCATTTATAACTCTGCCCCAAATTACATCACCAATCTGGTCTCCAAATATCACCCAAACCGTACTCTCCACTCCTCGCACGACCTCCTGCTCTCTAGCTCCCTCGTCTCCTCCTCCCATGCTCGTCTCCAGGACTTCTCCAGAGCTTCTGCCATCCTCTGGAATTCTCTACCCCAATTTATCAGACTATCACCTACTCTGCTCACTTTTAGGCGATCTCTGAAAACCTATCTCTTCAGGGAAGCCTATCCTGCCCTCAGCTAATAATGGAATCTTCTACTCCTCCTACCAGTCCATCCCCCACAGTTACTACCTTTTGTACCACTAGTCCCTCCCTCTTACATTGTAAGCTCCAAGGAGCAGGGCCCTCCTAACCTTTTTGTATTGAACTGTATTGTTGCTGTATTGTCTCCTGTTATATTGTATTGTCTCCTGTATATTGTATTGTGAGCAAACTGTTGGTGCTATATAAATCCTGTATAATAATAATATACATACACACTCATGACAACATGCCTTTAGGAGTATATATTACAATCTAATTACACCATAATATTAAACAAATTGCCGCAACTATTTCATCGGGAACAAAATTATACATTAAACTACTTGTCTTAGTCTACCTTAAGAACTTGGGTTTTTCTCTTCATACCTGCTCAGCAGTGATACCATTTCCAATAGCTTGTTGTACACTTTCTCTAGTGACTTGTGCTACTACCAAGTTAGGAAAGCGATATAACATCTCCGAAAAGAGAGCAATGAGGGCGATCTGCAGTTCTGAATCTGCGGACACAGCAAAATGTTATATATATTGTTTAACCTTTTGGCTGCTGGTGACATATTACATATTGTCATGGCTGTTCTCCTAGCTTGATCAATGAAGTTCATATTTATAAACCTTTAGAGCCAGCTCACACCACAAAAAACGCACTCCGGATGCATTCTGGATACGTTTTTGCTTACAGCTTACACCACACTCCGTTTGCTCAGTTCCAGTATGATTCTGTGCAGGAAAAATGCAGCATGTTCTACTTTTTTTCTGCACCGGCAACTGCTTGGAAATGACTGCACTTGTGTGAACTAGGGCCATTGGAATACATGGAAAACACTGTGTATGCATTTTTGATGCATAAAAAAAAAAACCCGAACTGGACTACATCTAGTATGAACTAGCCCTTTTTTTATCTATGCTAAAACACAATCTTAAATTACAGGTGTATCTTGTGATCTACTTATTCCTGCACCAATTCCCCTTCACCTAGCTCTTGAGAGAAAAACTGAACTAATCTCCCAAACTGCTTAAGGTGACATTACACTCTATTAGATTGTAAGCTCTTATGAGCAGGGCCCTCTTAATCCTTTTCTTTTGAAAAAAAAACAAAAAAACAAAAAAAAAAAACCCTTACTTTCGTGTTGCTTTAACTATATAGAACCTTAATGGCCACAATTCACCCAATTCATGCTGAACTTAAAACAAATCTAATGCCAAACAAACCCCTGTCAGTTTTTTTTAAATTCCTGTCTGTCCCCTTGTTGGGGATGTTTATATTCTATTTCTCCTAATGACCACTGTTCCTGGAACTGAAAGTTGTTGTTGAAACATGAGCAGAGGGGAGGTCTTCTAATGGGCACACTTGTAGTGAAAGAGCAGATCTTAGCCCTGGTTCACATCTGTGCGGTCGTGCGGGCCGCGAATTGCACGGACACTAGAGCCCATTCAGTTGAATGGACTGCCGTGCCCTGGGACATGCAGTACTGCACTACTTTGGAAACTGCAGCCCGCACGGGAACCGAGGTTCTCAGTACGGTTGCGATTTCCTGTGCGGGCAGCGTGCCATTAGAATTAATGGCACCTGCCTGTGGGTCCTGCATTCCCCTGTGTGGGTTGTGCGGCTGCAGGCATTTGTGTGGATCCCACAGCGGCACCACCCGCACAGATTTGAACCGAGGGTAAGAGCAAATTTTCCTCACTTTGGACAGACCTCTCTACTACAGCTGTGTAGGTAGATGTTTACATGGAATACTAACCTAACGTACATACACAGTATAAACATGTTAGTAGCTCACTTACCTGTATATGCATAGATTCTATAGTTAGTCTCTACCACAATAAAACCTTGCTTGTGGCTATCCAGAGTGGTGCCAGATATACCGGATGCCAGGTTAATAGCTAGCCGTGTTGGGTAGTAGCGGCGGGACTTTCTCTATTAATGACATGACATTAATAAATATGAAGTTGACGTAGATATAAAAGACACAATTAATACAGCTCTGTAATCACTAATACATCCTTAAATATCATTTTAAAATACAAGCAGTGAAAGTAACTGAAATCTGAGCTTGTTTCCACCTAATTTAGTCCCTGTAGGGCTGTGCTGGAGTATGAAAAGAAAATCAGTACATGGAGCCAATCGGTTCATGTGCTGACAAGAAAGCACATTAATAGGAGGAAAGGGCAGAGATGCGCTTGTCACTGTTGCTGCTCCTCCTTTCACTGTTTTGTCACAGGCTGTGGGCAGACCCAGGATGAGACTAGACTCAGAAGAAGTGGATTGAATGATGCTGGACATAGGATTGAGAAAATTTAGTGGCAGAAAATGTACTGCAGGGGAAATCTCTGGACTGAAGATGAAATTTGCTGTAATGGGTGGTTTTGTTATTTTATCCTTTAGTGGGCAATTTTATGCTGATATTTTTGGTTGGAATTTTGCTTTAAAGTGGTTGTAATCCTCGGTCATGGAATGACATGTCATGTCAATAAACAAAGCACATCCTTCTTTAGTGTGTTATTGCCTCAATCCAAAGCACCAAGTGTGATTTCTGTCTGGAGTGGCTCCTCTGCTATCTGCATTTCGGAAGGGGTGAGTCAATTACCTCCACAGAGGTCTCAGATTACACTCTGCTCTCTTCTCTAAACAGGTACAACTTATGTAGCAGGACTTGTTTCATCTCTGTGTATCAGCTGGATAAAAAGAAAAACAGTGTGTCTTAATTTCAGGCTGCAATTTTTTTTATTATTTTAAAAAGGGGGGTGATTATTTTCTATACCCACTATAAATTGGTTATACATAGTTTTAAAAAGCACAAATTGTTTATAAGAGAGTTAAAGAATGTATTGTTAACATATGAGATATAATGGGCTTAAAGCCACTATAAATTAAAAGAGAAGTGTGGGATTTTTTTTATTATTATACTTACCTAGGTGGATGCAGCATTGGATTGATGCTGCATCTTTTCCACACCTGTTCTAAGGAAGAGAACTGAGCGATCAAGCACAGTTCTCCCTGCCGCTCTGAGCACAGAGCCAGGACTGCCATTCTCCAGCTCTCTGCTCTGTCCCCCCACCCCCACAGGGCTCTCTGGAGTGCTGAGCTGTGGAGGGGGAGGGAGAAGCTGGATCTCAGTGGCTTGCTGAGAGACTGAGCTATGTGCCACTCCAGGCTCCTGAGCTGATCCCTACCATATGGTCAGGATCTCTCCTCAGCCTGGATTGTCATGACGTCAGCTGACAGCGGACCTTAGGCTTAAAATCGGTCACAGGAGTGCAGAACAAACTGCACTCCTGTGATCCACAGGAGAAGTACAGCCAAATGAGCTTTGGCTGTACTTCACTTTTAAGCTTTCTTAACAAACGCTGATACTAAATAATACGATTTAAACATCCGTTTTGCTCAACATAAATCACCAAAATTGATTTCAGATGCAAAAACATTCTTATTTTAAATATCAGAAGGAGCTGCTCACCTTTCTCTGAAACACTAGTCCAAATTCCCGCAGATGCTGCAGGAAAGTCTGTAAGGAGTCACTCATTCCTTCTACAGAGTAATCCTTTAAGACAAGGTTGTGAAATTAATAAAGGCATTCCATTATAAATTAATGTTAGCACAGACTGTTTCATATTTTGGCTAATATATCATGCACAATGTGTTACATCTTATAATACCTTTCCAAGTGTTGAGAAGCTCAGCTGGAACATGAAAAGAAAGAATCTCTACAAGATTCATCCCACGTGACTGCAGATGACAAAACAATGGCATTACACACAGGAACAGAGAGCAACACCTAATAAGAGGAAGAAATAGGACAGTTTTTACATAGCACAGGACATAAAATATGCTTTAAAATGTGGAAAGCAACTTAATGTGTAAGTTCACCTTTTCAGAAAAAAACAAGGAGGTAAAGTACCGCTGAGTCAGCCAATCCCGCCCCCTGCACAGCCCGGCATTCCAGTGAGTCTTGAAGGGGCAGAGTACAGAGTGGTGACTGGCAGTCAATGCTCTTTTGCTCACAGTGGACCCGAGAACTGAGCAATCAGTGATCTTTGATTGCGCAATTCTCAGGAAAGAGCCAGCGGGGGACAGTGGCTGCATCAGATCAATGCTCGAGCCATCTAAGCAAGTATGTTTGTTATTTTCCATTTCCACAATTAAATTTAGTGCAGTGAGATTTCCACTTTTGCTATCTCCTTAGCCTGCAGGAACAAACTTATCTTTCTTCTGCTAATCCCAACAGTTTCCATGTAATAGCGATGAACAAAGACATATTTGAAGTCCAGTCTGGGTGAAAAACCATAGTTCCTTCCATAGATAGTGGAAAAGTGAGTGTAGTCACCCAGGGACAGGAAATGTATTCACAGGATAATCAGTCACCTTATCCAAAGCTGCAATATTTAAAATTTTTGTTTTGGGTTTAGATGGGGGTTTAGATATACCCAACCCCATTATGACGTTAAGCCCTACCATTGCCAATTAACTATAATGTTCCAGAGCCTCTATTAGCAATAGAGGTTATGGTCAGAAGCTGGGACGTTTTTTTTAATTTTTCTGAAGTTTCAAATGAAAACTATAAACAAAAACAAAATACTTTAGTAAAAAACCTAGACTAATAGCTTATTGATGGTTTCTGTATACTGTTTTAAGTTGCACTGACAGCAAGGCTTACATTCTACATCAGATTATTTTGCTATGGCCCTAGGAAGGCTAGGGAAGCAAAAAGTATGACATCTGTAAGAGGTCATATTGCACTTTTCGATTGGCAAGTGCAATTATCCTAGCTATAAAAATACATAGGTAAATGTGAGCATTAGCACATTTGCAAAGCTTGGGAAGGGATGCCAGTTCAATACTGTATGTATCTGTCTATGAACAGAATGCATTTATACTATTTTAAAAAATGTAACCTGTTATAAAGAGCTACAAACACCTAAAGAGTACCTGTACTGAAGAAGCTGTAAGAAAAAAAGCAAGGGCAGGACTAGTTACCAGGATTTCCTTTAGGCACCCTGCAGCTAATATTTTAACAATGACTAAATTGCCGTATTCTGCATTGTGCTCCCATGAGGAATTGGATGTCTTGGTAGACAGGCATAGCTTTTCTTCCCAATGCCAAGTAAGGTAACAAACTTTAAATTATGTCACACAGCAGGTATACAGCTATTAGGATATAGAACAGGAGTGTCTAGGCACAATCACATATCAAGAAGTGCACCGCTAATTTTTTTTTTTTTTTTTTCAGCAAGAATGCAAATGAAAAGTAAAATTTTGTGCTGCTTAAGCACAATTAACATTTTTATGTTTCCTATAAGAGCAAAACTTCACTTTTAACGTTCGGGTTCACTTTAAATGTTTTCACATCAAAACATTTTCAACACATTTTTAAAGACGATATGAAAAGTGATGATGATTGTGATCCAATAACACCCTACCTTTCAATTGTCTACCCTATAAAAGGTGCCATAACAAGTTGCTACTTTATATTAAAGTCTTAGAGATATAGTACTTACTTCAGCTGACTTCAAGTACTGTAGCATAAAATACCAGAGCTGTGAAGCTGTATCTAGCAGTAAGAACTGAAATCCAGCTGAAGAAATGCTTGGAGCTTCTCCAGAATCACTATCAAATGAACAAAGACAAAATGTTTTTCAAAAACATAAAAATGTTTGAAATAATAGTTTGGATATACGTTTTACAGTGAACATTGTTCTTTAATAAAGTACATCTAAAATGTTACATGCATGGTGCCATGGGTGGGCTCACAACATACCAAAATGTAATAGTTCTTACAAAAATCTTAGGCTAAGATAAAAATAAAAAGTTGGATCTCCAGCACTTCCTGATCAAACAAACAGCTAGGTTTGTCATCAAGCTTCCTTCTCCCTAGCTTTATGGGAACAATGGTTCATGAAGTTGCATTACCTGAACATTTGGCTCCTCATTATTATAAGTCATTGCTAATAAATTAAAAGTGGACTTGCCAAGTGACAGATAACTGCATATCTGAACATGTATGGCATGGCAGTTGTGTGCAAACAGATATCCATTTGAAATGTATTAGCCTTGTTTTCCATTTGAAAAGCAGAGCCATGTGGCTGAAGTGGTGCTCCTGAGAATGTATAACTGCAAGGATTCTGATACATATAGACACTGCAAATTTTTAAGAGTAAAATGAAAAAGCCTAAGCATTTATATTACACAAAATGCACTTGTTAGATTCAAAAAAAAAAGCAAATTTTAATATTTTTAAATCTTGGCATCATTCACACCATATGTGCGGAAAAACCAGTGGAAACTGACGCACAGATTTCACTTGCAGAGACATCAGTTTTCATGCGCGGTTCAATGAGTTTTATAAACGTTGCAGATTTCTGTGCAGAAAAAATCTGCAAGTGATACTATTGTTGTGCTTTGAGCAGAGCAAATAGAAAGCAATTATTTTTGTGTGCCCTTGCAGAATGTGTGCAGAAAAACTGACGTCTCTGCACCATGTCAAGAACAAGGCCTTTTTGGTTTCAAAAAACAGTTACGGCATACCGGGAATGATCATTGTCACATTTGTTTGTGCTCTCAACCAAACTGTCAAACCATCTGCAAGAGATACTAGCATTGTGGTGTGAACAAGGCACCTAGAGAATTGATTTTGCTGTGCCCTTGCAGAACGCACGCAGAAAAACTGACATCTCTGCAGACTGGTGTGAACGAGGCCTAAAGCAAAGACTTTTGGTAACAAGCCGTCACATTGGTACTATGTGAAATACAGCTCTGCCCACTCTTATGCATTTTATATGTTGAATATGACACAGGCAAATATTTCAAAATAAAAGTATTTAAAAGACGAAAAAAAAAAAGCAGGAGCCCTTCTGTTCTTAGATAATATAAGCATTCAAAGAAGTAGACTGCAGAAAGCTTTAAAAAAATCAACTCACAGCTTCACCACCTTTTCTCACATGTATTAGAGAAGAAATGGTAGATTGCTGCATCACCTCCTGCTGCTAAAGAGACATGACAGCAGTGGAGGCGCTGTCTTTTTACATATACAGTATGGCAGGGGGCAGCAAATACAGCAAAATGGATGGATTGTTAGATTTGGTTCAAGCAATACCAAAATCACCACTATGTAAGTGACATGGATACCAGGTTAGATCCTCAATAATATTAGGTGATAAGGTGTCATTTACCAGAAGCTATATGTAGTGGCCCTTACAATCAGCTATTTTAAACTGAATTTTTATTGCATTATTTACAGATTTTGATTTACAGATTAATTTTAAAACATGCAGGTTTACCTTTTCATGAGACCAGCTGAAATGAGAAGTTGTGATAAATCCTGACTCACTGTTGCATTTGGTGATCCAACCATAAACTGAAGAATAACCTGAAAATAAAAAATAACAGTACAATTTCACTGAAAGACTAAATATGCAATGCTCCCAGATGGATATACTGTAAACCAAAAGTATGAAATGTTCAAAATGCAATATCTATCTATCCACCCATCCCTGCAAAACCATGATTGAATTCAGAAACATTCAACATAACAATGGTCAAATACAGTAAGTGTGGGCTAGAGTGTTTGCTAGATTCAAACACAAAAATCTCTCAACACTCAGAAGCAACTCCTTTGCAGATTTTGAAGATTTACTAATCAATACCAGTCAACAAAAACAATAAAGGATAGGCTCACCCTTGCAACATGTTCCATCTGTATTTATTGTAGAACATGTAACATTCCAGCTCCTGCCTCCTCTCTCTCTGATTGCCCCCCTTCTTGTGTCAGCAAACAGGATTCTCTACCTGAACTCACTGTCATGGCCGTGGCATTCATTTACAGACTTCTGTGAATGAATGAACTGCATCTACTGTTGGCCTCCACGGCTGACAGTTTGAAGTTCTCTAAGAACTGCGAGGGCGCCGGTGAGCGCTCTTGTAGTTCATGCATTCTTCCTGCCATTCAGTAACTGCCCTCCGTACTGGCAGACAGCTGACTGAGTGTCTGTAGGAGGCTGACACTACACCTGCAATCTGCAGTGTAATAAAAAAAATAAATGCACATTTATCTAAAAACAAATGTGCATTTATTATTTTTTGTAAGAGATGAACTTAGCCTTTAATGACTATGAATGTATGTACATGTTTTAAGACATAATCTTTAAAACTGCACTTACATAAATTGTCAAAAACAATCCATACCTAGAACCACACTAATGTTTTATAAAATCTAGAATGGACTTTCATCATTTTTTCTTGTCATCAACAAATACAGGAACTAAATTAAATTACATTCAAAATATCAATGTATATTTAGATTTGAAATCCATATTAACCCAACTAGTAAAACTCTAAGAATGAAGTTGTAAAACGTCTGTAAAGATCAAAGTTCTCTTACAAAGGTTACAGGTAGCAGTGTGGAAAAGGTGGCACAGAAGCTGTATATAGTATGGTAAATCTCCTAAATAATTATTATTATACAGAATTTATACAGTGCCAACAGTTTGTGCAGCACTTTACAATGTAATAAACCGAAACATCAATTCACACTGCACTCGATACACCAGTAGCAACTTACTTACAACTCTGCAAAAAGGTAAGCTTGTGAATTCAAAAAAGTAAGATAGAAATAAAATTGCTGTCAGTTCAGTCAATAACTCCACACAATTACAAGCGGCTGATACAATATCAGCAGGTTGTGAGTGATGCAGTGTTTGGAGGGATTCACTAACTGGACAACATTGCCTGATTACAGCTATATTGCAAATTTTTGGAATTCAGAAGAATACGTTGCTGCAGATTGTTGCTACTAAATTTAAGAAGTGTGATCTGGTAGTTTGAATTGATATTTTAAAGTTAAACTCTGTTTCAATTATCTTTATAAACAAGGCTGGTAAATTACGATAAACCTCACTTCACCTCCCATCTGCTCTCAGCATATTTATCCAGAGAAGGAACATCTTTTCCATGTTTATCAGGACCCAGTTGGCTGCCATCATCTGCCCAGGCTTTGCCTCTACACAAGACAAAATAGAAAGATCAAAATAAAATAATCAAAAAGGTAAAATTTATGCAAATACACTAAAAGACACAAAAATAATTACAAATTAGGTAGATTTAGACATGCAACTAAATCCACAGCTCCCCTTAAGAGTGATCTGCATTTGGATTGCTTTTCAGGGGCCACTGACAAGCAATGTGATTTATCTTATGAGTATCTCACCACAAATTATATTTTTGTTGCAGGGGATGGCCAAAACCTGACTTATACTGTATATAAGTACAGACTTCTGGGAAAATCAAAGCCAATCACACAAGCAGGAAATTACATTTCTGGGGGGCACTGCATTTTGGTAAAAAATTAAAGCACTTCCGAATTAAAAGAAAGGTAATGTTTAATAACATTCAATTACAATATTACTTGTTTAGAAATTGTATATGCTTCACTGTGTTTTATTTGATATATTTTCAAAACAAAATTGGAGTTAGCCTTGTACAGTAAAGTTATGTACAGTAAAGTTAATATAGTAAGAACACAGGGTTTTTTTCCTTTTATAGATAGAAAAAATAAACATGTCTGTCTCTTGTGTGAAATCTCCACCATTTTTACTGTTTTGCTTAAAAATTACATGTTCACCTTTTACAAAAAAAAAAAAAAAAAAAAAAATCCCTCAGCACCCCTTTGTTGTGTCTATCTGTATTGCAGGAACAACATACCATATGATGGGAATGGTCTATAGGACCTTAGTGCACAGTTCGGCACTAGGTTTCTACTGATGGGCAGCAGACAGAGTTGGAGGCTGCAGCTGTCAGAGGAGCTAAGTAGGGACCTGCCAGGACAAAGGGAATTTGTTTATAAAAGGTGAACTTACAGTATATTTTGATTCATTTAAATATTCCTAACATAAAAACAAAAATTTGAAAATGTTCAGAATATCTTCCTGCAGACGAGTTTCAGAACCTCTATAGTAACGTAATCAACAGTTGGGCAAGGCCAATCTCAGTTCAGGGTGGATTTAAAGCAGAACTAAAACCCATAGATTTAAGGCCCATTCACACAAAACCGTTGTGCAGATTTAACTTGCAGAGACATCAGGTTACATCAGTTTCGTGCACGTTTCGATGAGTTTTATACACTAGTGTTGTTGTGTGAACAGGGCACAGAGAACAATTATTTTTTGTGGCCTTGCAGGTGTGCAGAAAAACTGATGCCTCTGCACCATGGTGCACCACAAGGCCTTAATGGTTTCAAAACACAGGTACATTCTTTGCATGCCGGGAATGATAACGGTCACATTTGTTTGCTTCTACTATCCTGTCATTTCAGGGCCAACATTAAAAGCTTTTGCCACATACCATCCACTCTTGAAGACCAAGCTTTTTCTGACACTTTTTGTTCACATGAAAATACTGGGGGTTTTTTGCTAGAAAATTACTATGAACCCCCAAACATTATATCTATTTTTTTAAAGCAGAGGCCCTAGAGAATAAATGGTGGATGTTGAAATTTTTCATGTCACACAGTATTTGCGCAGTGATTTTTCAAACGCAAATCTTTAGGAAAAATACACTTTTTAGAATTTTAATGCGCAAAAACATAATATGTTACCTAATTGTTTGATAAAATATAAAAGATGATGTTACACTGAGTAAATGGATACAAAACATGGCATGCTTTTAAACTGCGTATGCCCGTGCAATGGCGACAAAGTACATACATTTTTAATATCGATAGGTGACTTTTAAAAGCCTTTACAGGTCACCAATTTATATTTACACAGGAGAACTAGTGCTAAAATTACTGCCCTCAATCTGATGTTCACGGTGATATGTCATATGCATGGTGCAATCTGTTTATGTACCGACACGGGATCAATGCTTGCATTTGCCTTTGCGCATGAACAAGGGAAGGGGGCAGGGTTTTTTTTTCTCATTTTGATTTTTTTTTTCTTTAGTATTTTTACACTGTCCCTTTTCTTTTCTTTTTATCACTTTTATTGTTATGACAGGGAATGTAAATATCCTGTGATAGCAATAGGCAGTGACAGGTACTCTTTTCTGAGAAATCTGGGGTCGATTAGACTCTAGATATCTCCTCTGCCCTCAAAGCATCTGATCACCCCAAGATCAGTGTGATCAGATGCTTTCCCAATTTAAAAATGGCGCTGTTAATGTCCAGAGAAATGGAAATGATGAAATGCTTGTAGCTTCCGTCTCTTAGACCATAGAGATGATTGGAGCCATTCTGGTCTCTGATCAGTTCTATGGTCAGCCAGTGGAACTGCCAACTGCATTCTCGGAGAGCCCAAGAAAACTGTGGAAGGCAGCAGGGGGGGGGGGGGGGGGGGGGTGGAATGTCCCTTACCACTGTTTGTAAAAACGATGCAGCAGCTACTAGGATTGCTTTTACCTGAAAGCAGACAGCCAGCTGAAAAAGACTATACCGGGATGATGTCTGTAGTTGCAGGCATCATCCCGGCATAACCACTCAAAGTCCAGCGATGTACCAGTTCATTGCTGGTCCATGTTGGTCATATAGGAAACAGCAGAGAACATGGGCATATGATGAATTGGGTCTGTGGACCAATATGACCGCAATTCATTCTTTTTTGTAATGCCCATGTTGAGGGTTTAAATTCAGAAACTGTGATATGTTTCCATGTGAATTGTCTGGCAAGAGCTGAATTTGGGTGGGCGGCCATATAGTGTCGTGCGCATAAATTGCTTTGGCCCACAATCAATTGATACAAATCGTCCATGAAAAACAGCGGACGGGTTAAATGCTAGTGCTGGCAGCTAATGGGGCTGATCCTGCTAACACTGCATTTTTGGGGACACTATTCAAAGGAGGCACTAGAATAGTTCTGTTCATGATCATTATATTGATCGGTACAAACACTATACTAGTAATGGCGGTGATCAGCGACCTATAGCGTGATTGCGATAGTGTGCGGGCAATCTAATGCTAGCTGACCCTGGCTGGGAGGGGTGCTAACTGACTCTGATGCTATCTGGTGTCGCTAGTGGCAGTAATACAGTGATCAGTGAAAAATTCTATATACTGACACTGTACTAATGGCTGGCTGACAAGGTGATCAAAGGGTTAATAGAGGTGATCAAAGAGCCCCCCTAAGCCCCCCCCCCCCCCCCCCTCCGGGGTTTGTACAGCCAGAGCGGCATACCCAAACATCCCTTGCCTTTAGTTGCCGCCCGTCTGTAGCACATTGCGGGCGGGAAGTGGTTAAATTTGATTGATGTGGTTAAAGAGGGAGAGAAGGTCACTAGCTTAGAACTGTCAGTCTTTACTTGCCTGAAGCACATTTTACCTATGGTAATATATGCACCTAAATTGGTCAAATATAGTTAATATTTAATTTAGAAAAGTAAACTCTTGTGGAAAAAAAAATGATGATGTTGTTAAGCATGTTAAAATCAGTAACGTTACTGAATTCAAATACGTAGGAGATGTGCGTGGCCTCATGTAATATTTGGGAAAGCCTCCCTTATTCCAGTCAATATAGCAAACAGTAGTAGCCAAGGATTTTTTTAGGAACCAATAGATACAAGGGAAACACTGCGTGTATAAAAACCATAGATTTTTATTATAACATTGGATAAAAACCAAAAAAAACAAAAACACAACAAAATACTGAATTTAGGGTTCAAGAAATTGTTTAAGTCCAATACAATCAACACAAAGACTCGACGCGTTTTGATAGGTCTCCTTCAGAAGTACATGTGGGTGACCAGCATGATGAATAATTCTCACTGTATTAAAACCATAGATTCACTGGCATCCTTCATGTGTTTGGAACAGGCTGAAGGATTTTTTTGTTACCTTACTGTTGAGAATGCATTAAGGTAAACAACCTTTTGACTTTAGAACCACTTTAATTGTAGATAAAATAACAATTAAGAAAAAAACATTATTGTGAACATCTATAGAACATATATATGCACATTTCCCCATGTTTTAATCCATTTAACATGCTGCAATTACAGAAAAATAACTGATTTTATGGCAGAAATGTGTTATATTCCTAACTTCCTATTTGACATGACAACACAGCTCTGAATTTCTAAGCTCAGTGTCAGCCCTGCCCACTTCATTTCTGATGGATTACAAAGAACACAGACCTCCCCTCATTTCCATCCCCTCCACATAACCTCTCCTTGTGTAGGCAGAGAACATAAGGAATTATTAGCTCCCGAGATTTCTGACAAAATCAATAAGATAACACTTTCAATGCTATAATTTAGCACACCAAAGGAAGCAAATATAAGTAAAATTCATTGTGCATTTCCTGCACAGCATTCAAAACACAATGCAGTTGCGACCTGCAGTGGGAGTTGATGTTTAGTTAATGACACCCCAAACACAGATTGCAAACAAAATGAGTATGCCTGCACCTGATCGCATGGTACAGAAGTAGTGCTTTTCCAAAAGTAGCGTATGCTTTTGGTGCGGTGCGATATGAATCAAGTGGCACTAAACTGATTTCCTGTGAAACTACTAGTGTGAACTGGCCTTTAAAACAATATCCTTCTGTGTGTTCTCCCCTACTACAGGACACCCCATCCCATTCCCTTTACATGAGAGAATGGTATTACGCAGGTCAAAAGGGGAAACCTCTGTAATGAAACAGGGATGACAACACTGCTTGGAATTTCAAGAAAAGGCAGCAATGTCATCTCACTACAGGAAGTTTGGCGCTTACAAGAATTCTGGCAAAAAATAGTTTTTCCCTTTAGTTTTTTAAGAGACAATACATGGGGAAATGTGCATGTACTGCAGAGGGCCGACAAATATGATGTTTAAAATTTTGCCCAGACAAAACACTCTTAGGGATTTAAAAATGCTAACTATAAAGTGTAAATGTAGACTATTGTGACATGAAAAGCACTATTTGAATGAATGAGCAGTAAACACTTTTCCTTACCCCCCCAATAATGCAATTCTTAGGTTTTCTCTGAAAATTGAATTCAGGATAAACCCCTGCAGTCCACCGGGGAGCTGTTGAGTGTGCCACAAACGCAGACCGGACAAGATGTGTGTGTTCTCTTCATGTTCCCTGATAAAATAAAATATAAACATAGGCAGATTTAGTTTGTAGACACACACTTTAGTGTTTTAATATAGGCATCAATGCTTTTAAACACATTATGCTTTCCTACATTGTTTCTGTAAACATTAGTATGTGCTTTGTTACATATTTCCTCTCTGAATTAGTAATGTGTAGTTGAAGTGATAGCTTGGCTTCCCACAATTCATCTCTCTAGCACATCACAGATGTATTTGCACATGTTTAAGGTATGTTTAAAATGTATTTCTCTAAAGCACCATCAGATGATCACTTGAGCTGACCTCAATGAAGAGGTCCAGAACCAAATACACATACAATTGCAATGAAATTACTGATTTCAATCTATTTCATACATTGTGGATGAATAACCATATCTCTTACTTGTGATTTTCTTTTTTCACCCACAATGCAACAGCTGCTTGGGGCAAAGGCTGTTCAAGGAAGAGCATTCGCATCACATAATTCTTGGCAAGACTCGGAAGCTCCCTGAGAGATCATAAAAATTACCAATGAGAAAAAGTGTAACACAAAGGAATTTATTTGTAAATGTGGTTATTACAGATTCATACAGCTTTCACCCAAGATTCATGATTTGCCCCCATTAAAACAAGTTAGAAAATGTGCGAATCTTGGGTAGAAATATTGTGAATTTTGGGTGAAAACATTTATAAACAGACCCTAATAGTGTACATTTATACACAGAAGCTGCCATAACCCTTGTTTTCTAAGGCTGGGCACCAAAATTGTTCTGCAATCTCTGTGCCTATACATAAAAGATCGTTCTTGAGCCTGTCACTGGGGGAGAGGGTTGATGTACAACAGAGCTGGCACCAGCTACTGGCCAAATGGTGCTCTTTGAAACTTTAATAGTTGGGCAAACCTATTATGCAAAAAATATAAACAAATGATAGATAAAGGGAATCGTAATTGATTTTAAAGTGCACTTGTGTCCAGACCATAGTCATTAAAATGCTAAATATATTAAAAGTGTATGTAAACTCTACAATAACAAAAAATATGCCTTATTTACTACCTCTCGGTCTGTTGAATGTACCACTGAAAGTTTGTACTATGTCTGTTCAGCAAATTTCTATCCAGACAGAAATCTTGTGAATTGACAACTTCCTTTGCTTTGATTCACTTTACTGTGATAAGTTAGCAGCATTGTTCCCTGCTATTTCAGTGGCCTACTGCCCCCCCCCCTCCCCGTTTTGGAGAAGAGAGGGAGGAGCTATGTAGTCCTAACACCAGCAACCACACTTAACACACAGCTGCTGGCGTGTGAAGGGAGGATAGTGCCGAAGCATCACACTATTTCCTCTTTTTTTTTTGTTCAAACGTTATTGAAATGACACAAGTAATACTTTGTCACATTCTATTTACACAGGTTAGGATGCATTGGTTTCCACTGTGCTCAAGACAAGTACTGCATGTATGCATGAAAGCAAGCAGTACTTTTCATCAGTGCACACCATAACACAGTGGTGTGAACTGACACCACGGGAAACAAGGTGAATTGCCCTGTCTTTGCATTGGGATTGCATTGGGCAACTTTCCAATGCAAATGGTGTAAATGGGTCCTTAAAGTTCACAACAAAGATTTGAAAGCAGGGTTTTAATTGGTTGCTAACAACTCAGAAACACCTGTTGTGTATTTACATTAGAGAGCTGGCAGACTACCAAGATTCTCCTGCAATAAAAATTAAAAGGATATTTCAGTGCCTGTTTTGAACTTTGAAGATACATTTCTCCACAATGCCTGTAGCTACAGAGGTGAAAATAGGCATGTTTCAAAGTGCTTTTGCTGCTTGTTCAGAATATGTAAATACAGTTAGGTCCATATATATTTGGACACAGGCACAATTTTCATACTTTTGGCTCTGTACGCCACCAGAATACATTAAAACGAAACAATCCATATGAATTTCAAATGCAGACTTTCAGCTTCAATTCAAGGGGTTGAACATAAACCATTTTTATACACAGTCCCTCCATTTTCATGGGCTGAAATGTAACTGGACAAATGAATATAATCATAAATAAATGTTAATTTTTAATATTTTGTTGAAAATCCTTTACTGGCAATGACTGCCTGAAGTCTGGAACCCATGGACATTACCAAAGACTGGGTTTCGTCCTTTCTGATGCTTTGCCAGGCTCTAACTGCAGCTGTCTTCAGTTGTTCTTTGTTTGTGGGTATTTCTGCATTTAGTTTTACTCAACTAGGTTGAGATCAGGTGATTGGCTTGGCCATTGCAGAATATTACACTTCTGTTCCTTCAAAAGCTCCTGGGTTGCTTTTGCAGTGTGTTTTGGATCATTGTCCATCTGTACTGTGAAGCACCATCCAATCAACTTTGCTGCATTCGGCTGAATCTGGGCTGACAGTATATCTCTAAACACAGCAGAATTCACCCAGCTGCTTCTGTCACATCATCAATAAACACCAATGACCCAATGCCACTGGAAACCATGCATGCCCATGCCATCATACTGCCTCCACCATGTTTTACAGATGACGTTGTGTGTGCTTTGGATCATGAGCTGTTCCAAGCTTTCTTCACACTTTTTTTCTTTCCGTCATTCTGGTACAGATTAATCTTAATTTCATCCGGCCAAAGAATGCTTTTCCATAACTGGTCGGACTTTTTTAGATTTTTTTTGTTGGCTTTGTCTTATCTGGCTTTTCTATTCTTCAGGCTTATGAATGGTTTGCACCTTGTGGTGAACCCTCTGTATTTGCTCTTGTGAAGTCTTCTCTTGATTGTAGACTTTGACAATGATACGCCCACCTCCTGAAGAGTGCCATTCACTTGTCTGGATGTTGTGAATGGGTTTCTCTTTACTACAGAGAGGATGCTGTGATCATCCACCACTGCTGTCTTCTGTGGACATCCATGCCTTTTTATGTTGCTGAGCTCCCCAGTGCGTTCTTCTTTCCTCAGAATGTACAAAACTGTTGATTTGGCCACTCACAATGTTGTTGCTCTCTCTGTCTGATGGATTTGTTTTGTTTTTGAAGCCTTACAATGGCGTGTTTCACTTGCATGGACAGCTCCTTTGAACTCATGATGTAGGTTCACAGCAATAGATTCCAAATGCAAATACCACACTTAGAATCAACTCCAGACCTGTTACCTGCTTAACTGATGAAGAAACAATGAAGGAATAGCTGACACCTGGCCATGAAACAGCTTTTGATTCAATTGTCCAATTACTTTTGGTCCCTTGAAAAAGGGGGGATGGCTACTCTTAAGCTATTCCCTTCCTCCAATTTGGACGTACACCCTCAAATTAAACCCATATCCATTGTATAACTATAGTTTAAATATGTTTTGGTAAATATTTGAAAAAATAAAACTAAAATTGTGCCTGTGTCCAAATATATATGGACCTAACTGTATGCTAGAATGCATTGTCTGGGCACAGCTTTACTGTAATTGCTCTTTATGATTACAGATCTAATGTACATTGATTCATTTTTGTGACAAATAAAGATTAATTCACACAAACTACATTCACCTGAATACAGCCAGGCATGTAGCGGGGTGGTTGTACAGCCTGTCCAGAACACCTGGACTCAGTTCTTGAAGAAATTCATGAAGATTCTTACACTTTAGCTGTACTCTTTGCAACTTCATCCTGCATGTGCACACAAAAAATATATATAAATTAGAACAATCTCTCTCAAACTTTTTACTGCAGAGGAACCTGCTAGAACCAATTAGTTCGAAGTACATGGGGAAAAATGCCCTTACATTTGTAGCTAGCAGGAAGAATCCACCCTTAGGGCTCATGTACAATGCAGTTGATGAAATCACGTTTAGGAGCTGTTCAGCGTTTTTTTCTGCAGCCCCTGAACTCACCCTAATGTTTTCCTATGTCCCATGTACACATCTTCGTTTACAGGCATTTGAGTTTAGAGTCGTTTTTTTGAATGCACAAAACTTGCGTTCAGCAGTTGATTTTATCAGCGTTTCAAACGCAAAACGCTTGTAAACGCGGCAAATCGCGTTTATAAGCGTTTGCATTTGAATTTTTTTTTTTAACTCTTCCAGTTCCCGATGCTGTCCAGAACCTTTTTTTCATCATCAAGGTACTCAGATTGACAAACACTGAACACAGGATGTTCCTACCAAGCTTGTCACACATTGTAATGACCAATTCACACCTCAGACCTCTTCCACCCTTGGAAACAAAAGATATGTTAATGACCATTCACACCTCAAATTCCCCAGGAAGACCCCCTGCCAGGTGGCCTTAATGACTCACTCCACCAGATACCTTTCCCACCCTTGGAAACAAAAGAAATGTTAATGAGCAACTCACACCTAAGCTAATCTCAACACATACTGCTCTCTCTGCTTCTACTCTCTGTATTTCTCTGAAACAGTCTGAAATACTTAATAATTTACCACTTTTCAGTGCATTCTGGGCACTTGGGAGGTTCGCCTGTGCTTTTCTTTAAAAAACGCTTCTAAACGCAAATGCTTCTAAACGCGTTATGCAAACGTAGGTTAAAAAAGTCTGTTTAGCCACGTTTTAAAGCAGTCATTTTCCATCGTTCATAAGTGTACCGGGGGCCTTATAGTGGTGGTCAGAATTACATTGTATTTAAAATGACAGTTTTACAGAGCACAGGGAGTACAACTACTGTTATCCTCCCAGAGCTCTGTTAGTAAAGATACAGATTTACTACACAGCAGCTGTTCTGCATGCACCTCCCCTCTGCTGTCTATTTACAGAGGGTTTTGTACTTTGCAAATTGTTTCACATAACACAAAGTGCTCTCTGACTGGACTAGAGGAGGTCAGGAGTGGGCAGTGCAGTTAGACACAACCCTGCAGCTGAAGAAGTTGAAGCCCAAAGGTCTAACGTTGGAGTGCTGGAAGTATAAAGACAACTATAATTCCAGAGCTCAGTAAAAAAAAAAAGTAAATTGTAAATATTATTCAGATAGATTCATGGGATGGTATACATCTCTTTAGATTTAAAGTCATAGTAAAGGTTCTTATTTTTTTTTAAAATAACAAATATGTTATGCTTACCTGCTACATGTAGTGGTTTTTCACCGAGTATAGCCCTAATCCTCCTCTTCTCAAATTCCTCACCAGCACTCCTGGCGCCTCCTCCCAGCTAAGTGCCCTTGCTCTGGGGGCACTCATGCGTGCTTGCTCCCAAGCCATCTCTGTGGGTCTACAAGACACAGAAAGCACAGCTCAGCCCCCCCCCCCCCCCCACTCCCTCCTCAATGGCTCCTGCTTCTGTGTTCAGGCCAATGAAGAGGGATAGCCACCTGAGAGGGGAATTGCACACTGAAGGTTTTATACCATCATGCATAGAATGCATGAAGGTAAAAAGCCTTTAGAACCACTTATTAGTGACAGTGACTGGAATCCTAAGACTGTACTATGTCAGCTTAACAGATCCACTGTTTAATCACAGATGTACAGAAAGATAAGAAAATAACAGAAGAAACAATGGTTACTGGGTAACGGTTCTACTGTGTTATTAAAAACCAAACTAATTGAAAGGTGAAGGCATAACCACATACTATAAAGGGCAGGCTAACCAGAGCTGCTAAATCAAGTGTCTGGATTCATCTTTTTTATTTGTCATGGTGGCTGAATCTTCCAATGGGGACACCTGGTCTGGTGACAACTGTCTGGGAGAGGATTTCTCTCACTCAGGAAAAATTTCCACTCACTTCTAGATGTGTCTCTGCATCAGGATGTGAAAAGAATCTCCCCAAAAGGTCACAGGCAACAAAGGAATCAAATAACACTGATAGGGGTTCCAAGTCTTCCACACTCTATTCAAAAATTAAAAAGAAAAGTTTTGGACTAGAGATTACAGATGAGCTCAGGTGTCCCCCAAACTCATCTCTAGCCAAATTCTAAACTTGGCTTTTTTCACTCCAGTGAGTTGCAGGTCAGGTCATTTCTGCCAAACAGCTAACATAAACAGAGGGCTGACTGTGGGACAGTAATAACCTGGCTTGTAACTTAATGGAGAAAAAAAAAAAAAAAAAAGTAGGAGAGAAGAGAATGCCTAAGCTCATCTATACTAGAGATGTACTTTAAAGAAGACCTTCACTCAGCTCCTGAAACCTCCTTGGATATGTATGTCATATACCCCATGAGGCATCGGCTTTCACACACTGTGACTGATAGGAGGCAGGCCTGGTGGATGTTATCAGGGAGCTGACTGCCTGGGCCCAGAAGAGACAGCAGGCTCCCAATAACATCAAACAAGACATTGGTGGTGTGGGACCCGGTGTATGGCACTTGAGCACTTGCTGGGCAAGTTTGTAAATTCAGGATAAAAAGTAAGAAGAAACTTAAAAACAAATCACAGGGGGAGTGAAGTTCCTCTTTAACAATATGGTCAGGAATAATCAGAATACAATAAGATCACCGGGGGCAGGGCTTTGGTGAAATATCAGGGGGGGGGACTGATGTCTCACATTTGAGACAGAGAAAGGGACTAAGGAATTTATAATGAAAGAACAGAAAGCTCTGTACAGAGGCTACTGTTCATTAACAAACTGAAGCATAGAGAACACAGTTTACTATGCTTCAGTTGTGAGCAAACACAGTGCATTACCAGTACTGATCACTCATTGTGTTCATTCACAAAAGGAAAGGAGCTGGTAAATATGACTATATGGCACTGCAGGGAGTCACACAGGGGGAATCAAATCCTGGACAGAAAGGATGATTGGTGAGGCAGTAGGGTAGGGGTCTCCAAACTTTACAGAGGGCCAGTTTACTGTCCTTCAGACATTAGGGGTGCTGGATTGCAGCCAGTGGGGATAGAAAATGTAACGGGCCCAACATCAGTGAGAATAAACATTGCCACAGGGTTGGTAGTCAGTAACATAGCACCTGTGGTCAGTAGGAGGAGGAATAGTGGCCTATCATTGTTATCACTGGGAGGAACAGGACCCCATCATTGGTATAAATAGAAAAAAAATAGCACCTTATTGTTGGTGTTGGTGGGAGGAACAGTGCCCCACCATTGATGTCGGTGGGAGGAACAGTGCCCCACCACTGGTATCGGTGGGAGGAACAGTCCCCCATCAATGGTATCGATGGGAGGAACAGTCCCCCATCAATGGTATCGGTGGGAGGAACAGTGCCCCATCACTGGTATCGGTGGGAGGAACAGTGCCCCATCACTGGCATCGGTGGAACAGTGCCCCATCACTGGTATCGGTGGGAGGAACAGTGCCCCATCACCATCACAGTGCCCCATCACTGGCATCGGTGAACAGTGCCCCATCACTGGCATCGGTGGGAGGAACAGTGCCCCATCACTGGTATCGGTGGGAGGAACAGTGCCCCATCACTGGCATCGGTGGGAGGAACAGTGCCCCATCACTGGCATCGGTGGGAGGAAACAGTGCCCCATCACTGGCATCGGTGGGAGGAACAGTGCCCCATCACTGGTATCGGTGGGAGGAACAGTGCCCCATCACTGGTATCGGTGGAACAGTGCCCCATCACTGGTATCGGTGGAACAGTGCCCCATCACTGGTATCGGTGGGAGGAACAGTGCCCCATCACTGGTATCGGTGGGAGGAACAGTGCCCCATCACTGGTATCGGTGGGAGGAACAGTGCCCCATCACTGGTATCGGTGGGAGGAACAGTGCCCCATCACTGGTATCGGTGGGAGGAACAGTGCCCCATCACTGGTATCGGTGGGAGGAACAGTGCCCCATCACTGGTATCGGTGGGAGGAACAGTGCCCCATCACTGGTATCGGTGGGAGGAACAGTGCCCCATCACTGGTATCGGTGGGAGGAACAGTGCTCCATCACTGGTATCGGTGGGAGGAACAGTGCTCCATCACTGGTATCGGTGGAAGGAATAGTGCTCCATCACTGGTGTCGGTGGGAGGAATAGTGTTCCATCATTGGTGTCGGTGGGAGGAATAGTGTTCCATCATTGGTGTCGGTGGGAGGATTGGTGCCACATTATTGATATCAGTGGAAGGAATGGTGGCCCATTATTGATATCAGTGGGAGAAATAGTGCCCCATTATTGATATCAGTGGGAGAAATAGTGCCTCATTATTGATATCAGTGGGAGGAATAGTGCCTCATTATTGATATCAGTGAGGAATAGTGCTACACTATTAGTGTCAGTAGCAGGATTTATTCCCCACTGTTGGTGTCAGTGTAAGAAATAGTGCCTTATATCGGTGGGAGGACTATAACCCCAAGGGCCAGATAAAGACTAGCAAAAGGCTGCATCCAGCCTTTGGGCTGCAGTTTGGAGACCACTGCAGTAGGGCAATTACAGTAACTGTTCCCCTGTGTGGCTCTCTCTGCAGCAGCTGAAAGCTGGCTTCTCCTCCTCTCCCCCCACCATCTTTCAGCTGCTGCTGCAGGGGATAGGTTCCTGTAACTACCTCTCTGCCCCACAGATCACCTCCTCTCCTGCCCACGATTCCCCCTGCTGCCCAGGCCTGGTATAGGACAACCGGTGGTACCCCTTTATCAGTGGCCTTGTTCCCATGCATAAACATGTGTCATGATTGCAATACAGCGCTCCCTGCCTTAAGAGTACACTATGTGTGTGCCCTAAATGCAAAACGCATTGCACATGTGTAGTGATGTAATTGGCTGGAGCCAA